TAGTTGGGAATAAAGATCAAGCTATAACAACTGATATCATTGGTTATCCATGTAAAGTAAAATGCAATTTGTTAAAAACAACTTTTATTACCAAACACAACTTCACATCCCCATAAACATGTCAAACCAAGACTATACAAACACATGAGAACACAATATGCAAAATTTATTTGCATGTAAGTACAATATGACCCACACATTTAGCTGTGTTTAGTAAAACTATCATGTCCATGAATCTTGGCTATTCATTTACATGACATAAAAGACATTTCAGTAAACGCTCATTATACTATCACATATTTGGCAGTTTTGGCAGCTCAAGTTTTCCATCCATTCTTGCATAGGGTTTAAACAAGGACTAGTTAAAATGTTTGTATTGGAAAGATACATATCTTGGCAAGAAAAGTTGTATTAGATCCACTGATGTACAATACACAAGGTGGAAGGTTTATCTGCTTACCCGTCACCCTGTGGCTGTTAATACCTCGGCAGAGTAGTAATTTTTCATGTCTTCAAATTCTCTGTATACAAACATTTTTCTAATGATGAAATTATTTTGAAACAATCTGAATTTCAGTTACATATTCTACAAGCACATCTCTCATATGTGGCAACTGTTCTCAGTTTGGTGTTTGAATTAAAGTGTATTCATCAAAAACAATACTTTCTGTCTCGGAGCTTATTGTTCACTGGGGATGACCCATCATAAAAGATGTGCACATTATCCTCACAAACACTTGAAGGGACATAAAATCTCCCTCCTCTCCTCTGCCGGGATCAGACTTCTGAGAGGGATGCATGATGGGAGATTCTGCAAGTCAACGGTAGTGTTAACAGTGAGTGAGTTTGGTTGAAATCCATTTGGAACAGTATTTCAGTTATATCAGCACGTGTCAGCCTTATGTGGGCGGAAAGCCTGAAGCCATGCTGTTCTTAAGGGAGACAACTCTGCAGATGAATAGGAAGCTCAGATGGAAAGTTTGGCCACCCACACCACTGGTAGTGTTCAGGAGTGCATGATGTCTTGTAGTACAACCAAACACAACAGGGTCAGCCTCCGGGTACCCCCCAGTGCCAGGTCAGGCAGGAGTGCATGATGTCTTGTAGTACAACCAAACACAACAGGGTCAGCCTCCGGGTACCCCCCAGTGCCAGGTCAGGCAGGAGTGCATGATGTCTTGTAGTACAACCAAACACAACAGGGTCAGCCTCCGGGCCCCCCCCCCCCCCAGTGCCAGGTCAGGCAGGAGTGCATGATGTCTTGTAGTACAACCAAACACAACAGGGTCAGCCTCCGGGTACCCCCCAGTGCCAGGTCAGGCAGGAGTGCATGATGTCTTGTAGTACAACCAAACACAACAGGGTCAGCCTCCGGGTACCCCCCAGTGCCAGGTCAGGCAGGAGTGCATGATGTCTTGTAGTACAACCAAACACAACAGGGTCAGCCTCCGGGCCCCCCCCCCCCCCAGTGCCAGGTCAGGCAGGAGTGCATGATGTCTTGTAGTACAACCAAACACAACAGGGTCAGCCTCCGGGTACCCCCCAGTGCCAGGTCAGGCAGGAGTGCATGATGTCTTGTAGTACAACCAAACACAACAGGGTCAGCCTCCGGGTACCCCCCAGTGCCAGGTCAGGCAGGAGTGCATGATGTCTTGTAGTACAACCAAACACAACAGGGTCAGCCTCCGGGTCCCCCCCCTCCCCCCCCCCCCAGTGCCAGGTCAGGCAGGAGTGCATGATGTCTTGTAGTACAACCAAACACAACAGGGTCAGCCTCCGGGCCCCCTCCCCCAGGGCCAGGTCAGGTAGGCTGTCATAATGTTCAAGAGGATTCACTGATGGCAAATGACCTAGGACATTGACAATTTATGGGTCTGACTAGATACATATTGGACTGAGTGAGTTAAAGGTTAATAAAGCAAAGAACAGTTTCTGAATTAGAATTGTCACAGAGATAACCAGTTTTGCATATGAAATGCATATATTGTGAATGCATATGATGGAGGCGGAAGGCCATAATGTTGGCACACACACGCACGCAGTGTACATCCACACACACTAACACACACACACACACACTAACACACAATACACAGCTCTGCAGATAAACAACTGGCTCATTGTGTACTGTCTTCTCATCTCCAACTGAAGTTGAGTCAACACTAGACGTTGGCAACAGCAAAAGCTGCGAAAGTATTTGAGTATATAAATAATGTGAAATACAGAAGTACCCATTCTTATCAAAGTCTGAGCAGTTCACACCCTCAGTTGACTCGGCAACAAGCATTCGACAGGGATTCAGAATATGTGACAAAGGGTTTCAGGGTATTGAGTGGGTATTAAGGATATATGACAAAGGAATTCAGGGTATTGAGTGGGTATTCAGGATATGTGACAAAGGGTTTCAGGGTATTGAGTGGGTATTCAGGATATGTGACAAAGGATTTCAGGGTATTTCAGGGTATTAAGGATATGTGACAAAGGGTATTTCAGGGTATTGAGTGGGTATTCAGGATATGTGACAAAGGGTTTCAGGGTATTGAGTGGGTATTAAAGATATGTGACAAAGGATTTCAGGGTATTGAGTGGGTATTAAGGATATATGACAAAGGGTTTCAGGGTATTGAGTGGGTATTAAGGATATGTGACAAAGGATTTCAGGGTATTGAGTGGGTATTAAGGATATGTGACAAAGGATTTCAGGGTATTGAGTGGGTATTAAGGATATATGACAAAGGGTTTCAGGGTATTGAGTGGGTATTAAGGATATGTGACAAAGGATTTCAGGGTATTGAGTGGGTATTCAGGATATGTGACAAAGGGTTTCAGGGTATTGAGTGGGTATTAAGGATATGTGACAAAGGGTTTCAGGGTATTGAGTGGGTATTAAGGATATGTGACCAAGGATTTCAGGGTATTGAGTGGGTATTAAGGATATGTGACAAAGGATTTCAGGGTATTGAGTGGGTATTAAGGATATATGACAAAGGGTTTCAGGGTATTGAGTGGGTATTAAGGATATGTGACAAAGGATTTCAGGGTATTGAGTGGGTATTCAGGATATGTGACAAAGGGCTTCAGGGTATTGAGTGGGTATTCAGGATATGTGACAAAGGGTTTCAGGGTATTGAGTGGGTATTAAGGATATGTGACAAAGGGTTTCAGGGTATTGAGTGGGTATTAAGGATATGTGACAAAGGATTTCAGGGTATTGAGTGGGTATTAAGATATGTGACAAAGGGTTTTCTGGGTATTGAGTGGGTATTAGGGAAATGTGACATAGGGTATTTCAGGGTATTGAGTGGGTATTCAAGATATGTGACAAAGGGTTTCAGGGTATTGAGTGGGTATTCAGGATATGTGACAAAGGGTATTTCAGGGTATTGAGTGGGTATTTAGGATATGTGACAAAGGGTTTCAGGGTATTGAGTGGGTATTAAGGATATGTGACAAAGGGTATTTCAGGGTATTGAGTGGGTATTAAGGATATGTGACAAAGGGTAGTTCAGGGTATTGAGTGGGTATTCAGGATATGTGATAAAAGCACAAACATAAATCTCAATCTGAATATTTGCCTGTGTACAATACACATGATAGGTACACAAACAATTATAGTCTCAAATATACAATTTTAAAAAACACAGCTTAGGAGGAAACACCACAGTATGACACTGTCAGCTATACTGAGGCCACAAGTTTTTATCTTTTTTTTCACAGACTTTACGGATCGTCTTTGTCAGGTCAAAATAGAATTGAAAATAATCCAGATATTTGTTGTTATATTTGACATTACACTGTGTTGTAAACAACTGTCAGTCGATCAGTACACCACACCAATCAATCAGAGAGCTAGATCACACCTTTCTTTCCATTGGGCTTTTATCCACTCTATTTCAGGAGATTGAGTATTTGTTTCTATCGGTTTAGCATTGACAAATGATAACATATCTCACTTAGGGTAATTTGACAATTTCACTCTAAGAGTGCAATGACTGATCAACCAATGACACATTGCAAATGTGGCCCAATGACAATACATCAAACAATATTTGAAATAGGAACAGTTGCAATTGATGCTGATTGAGACTATTGATAATTCTGACAGATGTAAAGTACAGAAACCAACTTCCAATCAACACCTGTGTCATTTGCTTTTATCTTAAACATGCCTTTTTTGTACAGACATATTCTCAATTCCATAGTGGACTAAACAGAGTTACCTCCCCTAACTCCTAAAGCCATTTCCTAGCAACTGTACTGAAACTAGGCATTTACTGACAATTTATAATTCACATTGAGTATTGAAAGTTAATTGGGAGGTATTCAAAATATGTTTATTTTGTTGCATTCAGTCTATTGGGTTTAGTAAACCGAGGAGTAGTGTCTTTTGAAAATACCTTTATTGGTACTTCTGTGCTGAATCAGGTGACTTCTAGTTAGCATATATTCCTGTGCTCACACATAAGTGACATAACCTCATACCAGTGATACATGTTGAAGTCATAATAAGCTTTAGTCACTGCAGTAGAGTACCTGTATCAGTCAGGGTGGCCTCTTGCCTACGCGGCAATCCAATTCCCATAACTGTGTAGAAATTCAATTTGGCCTGTTTTTGCATTTCTTTCCCTTTTTGTTATCAAAAAAGTATTAACTTACATGAAGAAAGACACAGATAGTAACATACATTCATTATGTTTGTATTAATGTACTTTTGAAAAATAATTAACAGTAATCTTGACTTAGAAAGGAAAAATGTTTAAAACAATCATTCAAAACAGTAGGGTAATTTCCACTGGTAACTGCAAACTTCATATGTTGAATTTTGTTATAAACTCATTAGAATAGTATACATGAGGTCTGATTCAGTCAATCAGAACATATACATACGTACAAGTACACAAGCTGAAAAAGATACAGTGGGTAATTGTGCTCATTGTTTTTGTACTATTGCGTTATCTAATTTCCTCATGCACATTTGTAAACAAACAACTCAAAAACAATTGGGTTTTGGTGAATGAGTTCGCATATTTTATACCAATACTCATCTTATCTGCATCTCAGTGACGTGTAAGTATAGGTAGGTTTCTATATAAAGCCTACAATCTGGCATTGTGGAACATGTCAAGTTGTATCATACAACATTGTACAACTATCACAATAAATATGATGCCTTTACAGAGACCAATAATGATAACCAAATTCTCTACCGTTTAAAGACAGGCACTCTAATTGGCGGTGTTCTTCATCACAGTTATCGTCTTGTCATCCAACCTACATCATCAACCAACCAATCAGCTTCTTCAGATTTCATTCATCCTACTTACGAGTCTCGTAAAACATTCATACAAAGTGGTCAGTCAGGGATTTATCTAGACCTGCTCAGAGGCCGATATTTGGACCCAAGTTTGCAGCAAATGTCAGTAGAAATTCCCAAATTGGAATAAAAAAGTTCAGAATTCATGTTAATATAGTTATAACTAATGTTATGGCTTTGTAGAGGTAACTGTATATCACTGACAACAGGGCCAAAAAGTGGAAGAGTCATTTATGGATAGTTTTACATAAACACATAATACAATGTTAAAATACCTCTGAACAAAATAATAATTTTTTTCCAAATTTGGCTGCCATGGACACTCAGCTTAGAAACCTAGATAAATCCCTATCAGTTCAGTTACTTCTATCAATGATGGTGCATAGCCTCGTTCAAGGTGAGAATATGAAGATGTGTGAGGCTGGACATGTAACATTGAATAGGCTGGGTGATTGGCTGACTGAAGAGTTCATTAACCCTTTGACTATGGCATCTTGGCAGGTATATTGATCTAATGACCATTGATGATTGATCATGATTTTGGCATCACTAAAATTAATGCCACTTATATTAGATAACAATGCTAAGGCTATCATTCACCAACACTTTGGGGGAAACTGACATCATTAATACCCTGAATACATACTTACCATATTAAGGGTTAATTTTTTCAACAACAAACATAAACCAATTAGCATCCTAACATGTGTGTATTGTGAAATAAGAGGAGAGTTTACAAATAACTAACTCCCAATCACAAACAGAATCTTGTTTCACATGATGTATATACCATTCCAGGCTGTCAGTCATCTTATAATACCTTTGTCAGCACTGAGGTCATCATTAATATACAGATGGATGTATCACAATTTCTAAGCCATAGAATACATGGTTGTGTCTATGTGACAGTTAGCATTTTGGCAAAACTTTCAAAGTTTTCATAATTCAAATCTGGCGGGATGAGGAAGGAGTAGTGTCCAAACTGAATGGCTGTCCGAACATTTTCTTCATCATCATCCAACAACATTACCTCCCTCGAATTGACAACCACATGGTGCTTCTGATAAAGTTCATTAAAGACGTTGATAAGGTGAGCTTCCTTCCCGACGAATTCATCTGGACCTTGTCGTTGTAGTAGATCTATAGTGTTGGCCTGGACTAGTATTTTACCGGCAATACTGAAACAAAAAATGTCACATAAAGAATAAGATTGGTATGATGTTGCATGCCATTTTTCATGAAGTCCCATTATTAGTTCAAAAATGTTCAATAAGACTGGGACCTTTCTTCTTGAGTACTGAGCTTAGGCTGATCATACCAATGTGGGAGTGCCTTAGGGATGTTAGGAACAAGAATAAATACATTTTATTCAAGCAAAATCTGTAGATACAAAACCTGTTTATTTTTTAAATTCACAAACTGGTGCCAACACATTCAGATGATCAAGATGATATTTGTTTATAGCCAATCTATGTTTGAAAATAAAACAGTGTGTTTATCCATCAGGTAAGAAGGCTTACATGTTGCAGCCCTAGGTGGACTATATTGCAATATATATATAACACATATCTGGAAAGTAAGGAAAGCTAGACACATGCAAACATGGTGATGGAAACATGTCTCTCATATTTAAAGCAAATAAAAGTAAACATGTTCAGCAATCCATTATCATTAAACAGACATTCAACGTGTCTAAAGCAACTGTTGTGCAGCCTGGCCTTGTCTATGCATTGTTCACTATCGGCTACAAACATGTAAACAAATAATACATTTCTGAGCATTGCAGTTGCCGATGCAGTACCGTTTGGGGAAGACATGTTGGAGCAATTCACGTATCAACCAGGCTTGCTTGAAAAATGTGACGATGCAGACAAACAGGCCTCTCTGGATAGCATATTGCAGTAGATCTCGCATACACGGTCTCACATGCTGTGCAAGACTTTCCACGCCGTCTCGCCATTGCCCTCCCGAGTGGATCGACAGCAATGTTTGATCAAAGTCTACAGCCAAAACCTGGATTCCTTTCACTATCAGAGACTTGACAAAACCTTCCACCTTTTGTTTGTCGCTTTTCTCAGCAGATGACATCGTTCTCAGCTTTAAATATTTTATGTTTACACAGCTTTTCCACTGGCATTGCTGTCAAAATGAAATTGCGTCGTCCATGTTTGTTCAAGGTGACAAATGAGAGTTATCCGCCCTTGAATATAAACGCAAACAAACTTGGGTTTTGGCGTATTATACATGCAAAAAGAGTTTTACAATCGCCAGTCTTCAAATATTCTAAATCCCATAGAGCCTAAGGATAAATCTTAAGTGACAGTTGCTATTCTTGCCATTCATAACTCATCCGGCCGAGTCAAGTTAGGAAATGTGAAGATAACATGCGGACCCCAATGGCCCGAAATACCTTATTTTAGAGAAATACACGTCTTAAATATTGTCAAGTGAGACCCTCCTCTTCCCCTTAAAATTCCCAACCAAAACGAGTCTAGATAATAATTTATGACGAAATTCAGAGAAAACAAGTTCCCTATAACAATTTTATCATATTAAAATGAATTAAATGGAAAATTAATGCCATGTGATTCGTTTCATACTTCATTATGGATATCTGAAATGAGCAGGCACGAATTGTCTTTTTTCATTGCCTTTGGGGAAATATATTCTCTAGAGTCATGTCATAGACAACAACACGTATTCGTCGATACCGTGTCAAAACACCAAAAATGGAAAATGGCACCGTTCGTCCTATGTTTATCTGATTTTGTATTGACAAAACACAACATAGTTAGGTATGTCATTTTCTAGCTACTATAACTGAAAAAAAATATGTTTCCAAAAGATACGCAGGCATACATGCATGCATTGGGTTATAGCGAAAACAGCCCCTCAGCAAAAGGTCACCGGCCAAAAACGGCACCGATTGGCGAAAACGGCACCTCGACTCAAGCAAAAACGGCTACTATTGCCTGCCGAAAACGGCACCTTATTTTTAAAAAATAATAGAAATTGAACTCACATCGTCTCTTACAAAGACAAATAATTGTGAAATAAAACAAGTAAGAAATTAGACCCCTACTCCAATTTACTCGCCGACTGATTGGGAGCTTATTGTGAAAACACTATACGCTTTGAAGTTATAAGTACCTTTACTCAATTTAAGCTGAAACTGTATTTAAGAGGCCTAACATGGTGCTGACAGAACACAATTATTCACAATGGCCTTTCGATCTGATGCATGCGAGAAGAATGTCAGAAAAAATCAACATGCTGTATCATGTGATAACTGTGACCATGTAAATGAACCATATATTTATTATTTCAAAAATCGTTCTTGTCATTATTAAAAATACAGGTGCCGTTTTCGCCCGACACATAGTAGCCGTTTTCGCAAGAGAAATCGGTGACGCTTTGCTGAGGTGCCGTTTTAGCTTGCAACCCACGCACGCACGCACGCTCAGAAAAGCAGCTTCATTATAAACAATACGTCTTGTAACCACACCGCGCTTGAACATACCGGACATTAAGTGTTCTCCCTGCGGTCACAGAAAAGGAATGATTAGTCATTTTTTTATGCAGCCCTCCCCATAATTTTTGTGATAATTTTTGAGTAACCCCATCTCTTTCGCTGTCAGTTTTTTTCACCGCCCGGCCTCTTGATCTCACCGACCCCTATAATAAATCCCCAGTCCCTATTATCTGTGTTTTATGGGAGTGGAATTCACTTACACTACAGAATAAATGTCGTTCCAACAACAGTACATTTCACTATTTCTTACCGTGAGGACTGGAGGAACGTCGAACGTATAATATGTTACTTGTTTTACATGACTTGGTTGATGCATGTCATCGTATTCCAATTGCGTAGATATATGCTCATGATGTCAATCACTGGATTGTCCGGCCCAGACTCGATTATTTACAGACCGACGTCATATAGCTGGAATATTGCTGAATGCGGCGTTAAACAACAAACAACAACATTAAAATATACTTGCATTTTATGAGCCTTCCGTTGGAATACTATTCTTCTTACTATGAAACGCAGTTGCCTCCCTTCCTCTGTCAACTTATCGTCTGCTGGAGCGTGACGTCAGTATTGACTACAATGCCGCGCGGGACTTGACATGCCGGTTGACGGGAACCTGCAGAACTGGTTCTGTGGCCTGGCGGTATACTGAGCGAGCACTGTTGTGAATACTATCGCTAGCAAGACTATTTCTGGCAACTGGCTTTCCTCCCTTGAAAACAGTGGCTACGCTCGGGATGGGCAATGTCGGTGTGTTAACGGTGTGGTAGGGTGTAGTCGTTACCGTTTTAGGAAGGAAAGACGAAACAAGGACAGAAAGCAAGGATTACCAATAAATAAGGACACCTTTACCGATCCGTCAGGTAAGAATGCACGCTATTTCAGTCATTACGGCCTGTAAACACAATCATTAACATACATTTATTCAATGATTATCAATGTTAGGAGTAAAACCGGGTGTTATTTCACACCATCGGTGATTCATATATAAAATTATACACTACTTAATGTCATAATGTTTCAGATGAAGTATTATTTTCTTGTCAAATTTGTTATAAGATTTGTATTAATTATATCAACTATTTGGTACATTGTATTAACTTATAATGCCGTGATTCGGATATTACTGAACATATATACAGTATTATGTGTGTGTATGTTTATATGATATGAATATCACGTTCGCTTTTCATTTCGAAGAAGTTATCTGCCGCAATGCCATCAAGATATACCATTCTCAATAACTTCTTGTCTTGTCATATATCCATGATCCTGAAGTATTTACCAATAACTTCGTTATACCACGCCCAGGTGTGTACAAGTTCCCTATATTTAACTGTGACAACAATATAGCTTTTCTTCAAAACATTATATTTCACAATTTAGTCGAATAGTATGGAACTTTCACAATATTTAGATGTTATCTACTGTCATAAGTAATAAACGCATATGTGATTACTGCATGTTATACAAAACCGGTTGTAGTTGCAGCCATTTTATTCTCATATCGAGGCAGCTCAGGTTTATCGTCTGCTAAGACGTTTTAAGACATTACAACTTCAAACTATCATAATAACGCCTTTCTTATACGAATACTATGTAAAACTGACCTTGTCTGGATTGGCATGGATTGGATTCGCTAATCGAGGACAAGCAATGCTACGTATGGTTCAAACCATTAATCTTCCGGAATGCAGTGATATTTTGTACCAAGAATTTCTGGTAATTTTGTACCCAAACCAGTACATGTTTGTGAGTTTGTACATTTTAAAGGCTTAAGAAGTATACTTGACTATTCAGTATTGATGTTCGCGAAATATGAAAAGTGCAAAGTAAACGAACAGAAAGTGAGTCTTATATTATTAATATATGCCTGAATACCCATATACTTCTGACCCCAAATAACCCCAGATTAGTGCTTTACAGAGCAAATGTATATTAATATATATCGCAAATATAAAATATCATATGTTTGATTTTCAGTTGAAAAGTTAAGTTAGCGATACTTTATCCAAAACAATGAACCGCACTCCAAGAATACCTATACATGGTTCTTCTTTTTTTTCAAATAATTTGACTTAAAACTTTTGAAAATTAAAAGAAAAGTTTTCGCATAATACCAACTGCAGATGAGTATCTTTTAAATCTCATCTTTAAAAATTAATAAATTTGCTTTTCTTGGTACAAACACTTCAAACATGGTTGAGGTCATATGGTTGCAAATTCATTTCTCATAATCAAATTGAACGATTTCTTTTGCCCCTCAGTTTATTTCACTTTTTGGTGTGTCGCGTTCTGTCGACATACGTTATATAACATATTATGTTATTAGAAGGTTTTCGGTAAAATAGTTACCAGAGGCAAAACCGGGGACATGCAATCAATTTGGCAATTGTTTCGGATATTAACAGAAAATAGGGTGAGTTAAAAGGAATCTCATTGAATACAAAGTATGTCTGCATGTCAGAATAGGCTCCTAATACCCCGTGCTATAGTCTTAAGAACATGCTTAAACTGAACACAAGGTGGTTGAGTACCTGCCAGTGCTCACTGCGTGTTGTTACTGCTCGTAATATCAACCACTGATGTGCCTTCCACCGAACGTATAATTTTCCTGCATGCGACTATTCATAAATAATGTACTTTATTTCCGAGCATTAACATCAAGAAATAACACTTTACCAATACTTGTTTTAGATTAAGCAGAAACTCACATTGTTATAATGTGTGTCAAGAAGTGTTATGGCTGTAGGCGTTTAGTCTTGCTAACAAGGGCTCCTCAACACGTTATACCTGCAATACCTGTAATACTATTGTAACCCAAACAATGGCTCACATAGCTGTGACCTTAATCCTATACTGTTAATATGACTGAATGAAACAAAGGTTAATTAAGGTACACGTTATTGTATCTAACGGTCATTGTTATGGTTCATTGTAGTAACATACAATGTTGCATTTACCTGTATGAACCAGACATTGCTTTTGCATGTATTTACTGCCTTTGTCTGATTTGATTCATTTTTATTTTTTCGAAAACGAGGATGAAATATTCAGTTATACTTTTGCCCTGTGCCCATGTAACTTGCTGTCTTTGTGTTCAGTAGCATACACTCTACTGTTTCATAACATAGATAGTTGTTGTTTAGCACTATCCATCACTTGCTTGATAAAGGTGTTAGGATCTACACCGAAACGTCGCACTAATTGTAATAAAGAAGTTGTTCATCCATAGAACTCGTCTTACTTCAACATAGATAGTATTCATCAATAACAGATTGTGTGCCCTTCAATTGTTTGTAGTGAACGAGTTAACGACTATATTTCAGCTAAATTAGTGACACCTCGTTTGTTTGTTGTTTTACGCCGCATACAGCGTTTGTAAGGCATATATGTTGCGACGGTGAAAGGTATATAGCACGACACCCCTTGACATAACATGAAGCTTCTTTTTACCATGTGTAACAGTTCCCTTAAGACCCACAGAGGCGACTAACAGGATCGGATGGTCAGGATTGGTGTTTCGGTTGATTGCACGTCACTGAAAATACCAATTCTATTGATCGCTGCCCATGATGCCACTCATATCGCCGTCATATAGCTGAATTGTGGCGTTAAACTACCAACACAATAAGATCCCCTACAATCAAGTACCTTGAAACCTGGTTTACTCGAAGTGACCATTGGAGACTCTGACCACTGAGATACGAAGAAGCAAAATTATCTGTCCTGAGTGAAGGAATGGTTTAAACCCCGAGCATTGAGCGAGGTACTTCCAGCAGTCAGTCACATCGTCCGTACCGTACATGGGCGAGATACTTACAGCAGTCAGTCACATCGTCCGTACCGTACTTGGGCGAGGTACTTCCAGCAGTCAGTCACATCGTCCGTACCGTACTTGGGCGAGATACTTACAACAGTCAGTCACATCGTCCGTACCGTACTTGGGCGAGGTACTTCCAGCAGTCAGTCACATCGTCCGTACCGTACTTGAGCGAGGTACTTCCAGCAGTCAGTCACATCGTCCGTACCGTACTTGAGCGAGGTACTTCCAGCAGTCAGTCACATCGTCCGTACCGTACTTGGGCGAGATACTTACAGCAGTCAGTCACATCGTCCGTACCGTACTTGGGCGAGGTACTTCCAGCAGTCAGTCACATCGTCCGTACCGTACTTGGGCGAGGTACTTCCAGCAGTCAGTCACATCGTCCGTACCGTACTTGGGCGAGGTACTTACAACAGTCAGTCACATCGTCCGTACCGTACTTGGGCGAGGTACTTCCAGCAGTCAATCAGATTGTCTGTACCGTACTTGGGCGAGGTACTTACAACAGTCAGTTACATCGTCCGTACCGTACTTGGGCGAGATACTTACAACAGTCAGTCACATCGTCCGTACCGTACTTGGGCGAGGTACTTACGGCAGTCAGTCACATCGTCCGTACCGTACTTGGGCGAGATACTTACAACAGTCAGTCACATCGTCCGTACCGTACTTGGGCGAGGTACTTCCAGCAGTCAATCAGATTGTCTGTACCGTACTTGGGCGAGGTACTTCCAGCAGTCAATCAGATAACTCATATATATCGCACTCGATCATTCTGATCTTTATGGACAAATATGCTTTGTTTGTTTGTAGCTATCCCTTAACAGTGTGACCCAAGCGACGTGCTGGTAGATCTTGTATTGAGCTGATAGAACATATTCTAATCGTGCTGTGACAATAAAGGTTCATATACTTAAACTATATATTAAATTATATGCGTTCGAGATATCACGGAAAAGCTGCAGAAAGTGAAAGTACAATATATAACATATAATATGTCATTGTCCTTAAAATATGCCTGAAATTTCCATTTCAGGATCACCATGGCAAAATTATTGCTCATCGTTTCGCTGTGTGTAGCGTCAAGCGTCGCCCAGCAACTGGCACGCGAGACATGTGACGCTAGCCGTAGAAAGGCGGAAGTACAAGTAGCCGGAGCACAAGTTGTTCTTGGCGGACTCTTTGAAATCCGACAGCCGGGCACCGATGGATATGGGTGCGGCCAGCCAGCAAAAGGTGCCGTTATGTTTGAACATTTATAACATTCACATAAATCCATGTTGGTGAGGATGAATGATTTCAACTTTGTACATGAAATATCCGTTCATATATATATATATATATATATATATATATATATATATATATATATATACATACATACATACATACATACATACATACATGTATAGCGTAATATCCATTTTGAATTGAGTTTGAATTTGAGTCATATACGCTTAATATCACCTTTTCTCCAAAAATAATAAAACAATTTACACATCTTTTGTTTCATGTGAAAAGTAGTCAGTTTGGGCTTTAAGTCTTTTCGTTATACATGTTTTCCCATTTTCTTGACAGATTTAATGCAGATATATGAAGCGGCCCGTTGGACAATAAATCAGTTGAATAGTAGAAATTCCAACCAAGGATTTATCCCAAGTATTAAATTTGGTAAGTTCCATTGAATTAAGATGCAAATTGCATACATCATCTAGCCACTCTTAGGATTGTCAAGTCTGTGCTTTAACACATGTGCACTAGATGGGCAGTGGGGTAGCCTTGTGGTTTAAGCGTTCGCTCATTCGGAGAAGGCTGGTTCATGGTTACAGTGTGTGAAGTCCATTTCTTTTGTCCACCGCCATGGTATTGCTAGAATATTGCTAAAAGACGCGTAAAACCATACTCACTGTATCCTGGCCTAGCAAAAATACTTTACATGTGTACAAGTGCACCGGTGGATCAGGTGTCCAAGGCTAAAGGATTATACAGACCCGTTTATGAATCCTGGCGTTTCACCACCACACTCGTATCCACGTTATGCGTTTACCCCTTCACTATAGGCTTGCGTGCCGTGATATATGTGAAACACATTATATAAAGCGGCGCTAAAGTCCAACTCACTCATTCAAGTAATGGGAATATTATTGGTTACAGGTTTGCAAGCTTATGACACTTGTTTTTCCGCGGAGCAAAGTCTGGGAGCTGTGTACGACTTCTACCCACAGGCCTCGTCGAAAAGCACGTACTGCAGCAGCTCAACCACTCAGACAAATGCTGGTGAGTGTAAGATTATGACGCATCCTAGTTACAGTTTTTATATTTTTGGTCTGCTCTGGCGATAGAATATAAACTGGAAGAAAAAGAAGAACTATATATATATATATTCTTTGGGATTCCCGATATCTGCTTCATGATATCTATCACGATTCATCCGGTTCTTCAACAATGTCAGGATCAGAATTAGGTATTGATATAGACGTCGTACAAACATTGCTGCTGATGTCTAATGGCGTATTTTGGATTGTTTCAGGGTTCGTTGGTCCTCTATCCAGCTGGACCTCACTGTCGGTGGCCGGCCTCATCAAACAGTTCAACGCACCTGCCGTGGCGCCAAGACCAACGTCGTCTGCCCTTAGTAACAAGGCCCTCTACCCAACATTCTACAGGACGTCGCCATCGTCTGCTGCACTCGTTAGGGTAAGCATATAACACTCACCAAACCAAACTAAGCATCTTCTTCTACGCCTTCATCGCGAACATATGTAGAAAACCCTGTGACGCTAAACAAGGCGATAATGTTAACCTCGTGTGGGGCTTTAGCAGTACTTTCAAACTGGACTTGACGGTGAAGTTATATCATCTTCATGTAGAATCTTAAAGTTTAATCTTCAAGTGTTCAATTTATGTTATCTATACCATAGTGTGATAAGTCAGATATTTGATTACCACCAGTTATCTATTTAACAATATATCTGTGCATTTGTAGAGGACAAAATCATGTTATAGAGACTGTTTAAATAAAATATATCAGTCTAGGGTCATGTTCATAAAGAATTATTTTATATTTTATACAACTCAGACGAAGATATTGGGGACGCGAACCTTTGAAACTATTATTGTTTGTACGAAATCATTCACTCCGAAAACCTTTTTTGGAACAGTATTGTTTCTTGTTTGTGAATAACTGAAAATGGAAATATCAGTATAGATTATGGAACGCATATCGATTACAAGTAGTTTCGGCTCAGGATAAACCCATTGAAATCTGAACTGAAATTAAATTGGCTGTGGTGGGCTCATACATTATGGGGAATATTTTATCAGCATGTCAGAGAGGATGTGGGATAATTTAACAAATACCTCCAGTTGCCCCTGTATATTCTAAATATTATCAATATATTATCATCCAGGCAACCAGCGCCCTTCTGGACCGCCTACAGTGGAATAAGATCATAATGGTTTACTCTGACTCTGAATATGGCCGGGACGGTCTGAAGAACATGATCCAGTTTGCTCTCAACAGTGGCAGATGCATAGTCCAAGCCATTGCAATAAAAAGCGGAGAAACAGAAGACCAGTTTTATAATCGCCTTTCAGCAATACAACGGTATGACGTCAATGGCGGTCTTTTCTGGGGAAGTGCAGCTGAAAGCAACGTTGCCATTGCAGCTCTCGAACGACATAATCAAGCAGCATCTTACGGGCACGTCCAGTGGATCTTCACTGATCTGGATACCTCTAGGTCCTTCACCGAGAGAATAGCCAGAGGCGCGTTGGTCATCCTGCCAACAACTACTATAATTGAAGAATTTAGGCGCTACTGGGCAGGACTCAACCCGAACTCCCCATCAAGTGAGAACCCATGGTACATCGACTGGTACATGACAAAGTATCAGTGTCGACTGACAGCCGTCAACTACCAGCCCTATGTCTCCCTGCCAGTTTGTCCAACAGTGGACTTTACAGCTAAATACAACCAATACGTCCAGAACCCTTATGTCGAGAGCACGGTTAAAGCAGTTTTTGCATATGCGGCGGCTTTTGAAAATGCACATCGGGATTTCTGCATTAGTCGTGGACAAAGCGGCTTCTGTGATAACCTGAAAAGGATAAATTCTGTGACTTTGAATGCCTATCTGAAGAACCTACAGTACACGTTCACTGCCGAGGATGGCATGGCCAGCATGGTAGGGAAGTCAATCGCCTTCGATGACAACGGTGACCCCGTGACTTCCTCCTTCACTGTTTGGAACTACGTCAACAATGTTTTCGAGAGAGTGAGTGTATTTTCCCCACCTATTTCAGATTGTTGTAGTTGCAACTGTAATCCCTCGTTAGATTATTTGACAATACCATTAACACCATTCTCCGGTCAATTATTTCAATAATTTCTAAAAGAGGAAGATAATACATACTCCCGTGCCGTATGCATATGGTAGGACCACACTACATTTATGATACAAGTATTAGTATTACTGTGTGATAATAGCATACATGACAGGATATTTAGAAGATAACGTGATATAGCTATACTATCAGGGACTGCATGATAAAATTAAATTTGCCCTACCCAGTGGTTCAAGAAATTGTTTGACCATGTCTTGATTAATGATATCAATGTTTGCTTCAGGTGGGAAATTACACCAACAACATCTTGAACCTGGATGTGAGCACTATCACTTTTTACGCCAATGACAGAAGGACCCAGCTGTCTACACCACCAACGTCCCTGTGTCCAGTTGGAGGTTGCCAGAACTGCCTCATGCCCACCAACGACATCCAGTACACCTATATACCAGGCGACATCATCCTTGGCGGGATGGTGGGAGTTCGAAATCCTGGAACCGACCCTCTGACATGTACAGATATCTCTGTGCTAGGAAGTGAAGCTCTTATGGCTATAAAATATGGTCTCATGACCTTCAGAGATGCCCTTGGAAGCAATATTCTCAATGGCGTCAAACTTGGAGCTCTTGTGGCTGATACATGCAACAAATACATTGCAGACGCCTTCCTCAACGACCTTCTGAGTGGGAGAAGGATTTTCAAGGATAAGAATGGTGGAAATATTGACACAGAATTCCTGACTTCCTTCGTAGGCTTCAGAGAATCATCACCAGCTGTGGATACCTCAAAAATTCTTGGACAATATAAAGTGCCTGAGATAGAGGCAGGGGCGACGGCCCCATCTCTGACCAATAGGATGCTATACCCTTACTTTAACAGGGCTTTACCGTCTGGGGACGCCATGAATTCAGCTATCATCAATATCTTGAAACGACAGCGTTGGAGCTATATCCAGATAGTTTACCGGCCTGATGTCTTTGGTCAAGAACAAATGATGTCTTTCAAGAAACTGGCAGCAAAAGCTAACATCTGTGTTGCTGCGGCACACATCATAACTATTGGAGGTGCTGCCATTTTGGATAAACTCAGAGAAAACGCCGAAGCCAGGGCCGTTGTTGTCTTTGGGTACTCACCAAATATCCGCGGGATCCTGGAAGCTATGAAAATGAACAATGCAAAGGGTGAGTTTGTCCTTGTTGGAACCGATAACTGGGGTGATAGGACAAGCATCGTGAGTGGCTATGAAGACATGGCTGATGGAAGTTTTACGGTCAAACTTGCGCCTCCAGATAATACCGGTTTTGACAATTACTTAAAAGGCTTAACCTGGACTACAATCAAAGCTGACCCTGTCATGTCAAAATTGTACGAGAAGACGTTCAATTGTTATATCAACGCAGGCGATAGAGGACGATACAACACACAGTGCTTCTCCCAAAGCATCAGCTCGACATCACCCTACTCCCCGTTTGTGGTGAGTGCTGTGTACTCCATGGCGCTAGCACTTCACAACACGCTGCAACAGGTATGCGGAAACAACTACAATGGTCTCTGCAACGACTTCAGAAACAAGGATGACGTCAGCATGAAACTACTTCAGCAGATTAGAAACATCTCCTACGTCAATCGTAAGACTAGCCAGACATTTTCTATTGTCAATGGAGAAGGAACAGCTGACTTTGACCTCTTTAACTACCAAAATGGCGCTGGACTTGGCTACATCAATGTAAGTTAAAACCAACTTCACATTTCATATAAGTATTCTGTTTTATTTTGTAACACACCGAAAACACACATATACTATATAATTTTGGTACATTACGTCTGGGCAGGCTGTACAGTGATTTTGAAATTCATAACTGATGAATATTTACTTAGACGTAACTTCAAAGTCATTGAAGTTATTAGTGATGTATACCATTCATGTGCATGAGTGAAAGATGACTATATACATGGCAATGCAAACCAGTGGGTGATAGCAAAAACAGCGACATACGCCAACAGAACACGTGACACCTAAACAGCCTGGTGACACACATGGTCACTACTTCACATGTTGCATTCACGGATGATGGAGTAATGCAGTGTATACAGACCTGGGAAGTACTGACATTGTCACTCATCGTATGGGATACACGAGATCTATTCTGCACAGGCATCCCAACATGTACTACAGACTGTGACTACCTTAATAACTGTAGAAGTTCGCACTTCATGTGTACCCTTGTACCCACAGACGAAGAATATAGTGAAAATATGTGTGCCAAGTTTTCTCCATTTGCATACACCTAAATACCAGGACACATTATCTTTATGATCCATGTGCTAGTCCTACCAACCATTCATGCTTGACGTGAGTCACACACATCGACTGTAGTTGTAACAGAGGTCTGGAGCACTTCCAAAACTCTAATAAGTAATAATTTCTGTCCTTTATTGTTTCAGGTTGGGAAATACCAAACCGCCACTGGCACCATCAGCAACTTCCAGGACAGCAATGTCCGCCTACCAAATGGAGCTGGTTCGACCTCTCTTTCTTCACAATGCACGAGCAAGTGCCTCCAATGCTATATGTACCAGCAACAACCCTTCCTGTACATTCCAGGAGACATCTTACTTGGAGGCATGTTCTCTGTCAGCAACCCAGGAAACCAAGGTCCATTTGTTTGCGGATCTGTCAAGACAACAAATGGATTCCAGTACACAGCGGCAATGCAGTATGCTATTGAAACGGTAAACAACAAACAAGCACCTGTTGGTTTGAATGGCATCAAACTCGGAGGTTTGGCACTTGACCATTGTAACAACCAGGACCGACCCTTCTCCCTACTTTCCAGTATATATTCCGGGTTGATGGACCGGTCCCTACAGATGATGGGGATGACATCAGCAATGAACCAGAACCCCTTATCAAGATCTATTGCAGCTTGGATCACTGACAACACAGCCAGCACCCAGGAAGCGGGGGAGTTCCTTCAACCCTTTAACATTCCCATTGTCAGTCCATCTGCCACCTCAGAGGCCTTGATGAATTTAACATCTTTCTACAGAACCACACAGGGAGATGACACCATTGCCATGGCGATAGTAAAGATTGTCAAGTCGCTGAACCTCCCATATGTCCAGGTAGTTCATAGCGCCAACAGCTATGGGCGGGGCGGTCTAAGTGCCATACAAGCAGCGGGACAACAGGAAGGCATCTGTGTTACTTCATCCATAGAATTAGACTCAACCATATCATCAGATTATGTCATCCAGAAACTCATTGAGAGTCCTACATACGCTGTAGTCCTGTTTCTGGGTACATCTGACATGACAAAGTTAATGACAGCCAAAGCCAGAAGCACTGATGCCAATGTGCCCAAACTTGTGTTCATATCTCCTGAACCTTACAGCAATGTTGTTCGAAGTGTCAGATCAGCGGCTACAAACCTGCTCAGCATCCGCCTGAAAACACCAACACTCACAAGATTTAATACCTACCTTGATGACAAGACAGCAGCATATTACACGGACAATCCTTATTTTGCTAAGTACTACATGGCTATTTACAACTGTGACCTACCTGGCTACTACATGTACAGCAGCCCCTGCGCGACTCCTCCTTCTCGACTCTCCGCCAGTAGCAACTTCGCCCAGAGCAACTTCATCTTGGCTACAATCAATGCAGTCTATGCCTCCACTTACACCCTGGATGCCACACTTAAGGAACTGTGTGGGAATAACTACAATAGCGTCTGCCCTGAATTCTCGAACGCCAATGACCTCAACACGAGGCTTGTAGACAATCTCAGACTTACAAACTTTGACAACTTGGGCAACAGCTTCCGCTTCCTCAACAGAGAAGGCAACAGCGGTTATGACATTCTTCGTTTTAATGGCACAGATTATCAGACGGTATGTTTTTATTCTGTGGTATATTTGCACAACACAACATAAGAAAATATACATATTAATGTTTGATTTAATTAGAATTGGAATGTTGTAAGACAATGACTGATTGAACTTTCACTGCTCCTTTCAAGTGTTTTTTATGCTTATGCATTACTGTGTTCTGTTAGGATTACATATTCGTGCGTGTATTTGCTGAAGGTGGGCAGCTATGAGGGTGCAGCCCTCCAAGTCAATGCTGGCCTGAGCGCCATCTACAGTGGTGTTCCCTCCACCTGCAACTCCCCCTGTCTAGAGTGCACCCAGCTGGGACTCAACTTCTCTTACGTACCAGGAGACATCCTTCTTGGAGGTAGGAACATTTCCTAACATACAATACTCATCTGTGTACTGTCATACTACAATGAAATGTTGAATTTCCTGAACTCGATCATAAAGACAGAATCAGTATAAGTATTATCGTCTCTCCACTTGTCGTTAAGTGACATCTTCTTATCTTACAGCATTGATGTTAATTAAGAGGCGTAAGGTAGCCTAGTGCTAAAACTAGGTTCATACAGGCTTGAAAAATATTGACAGACCCACGCAAATAACCCAACTAAATAAGCCTTGAAAATGACAGTTGAAAAGGCCTTGAATTTTAGTGTAATCATATCTGTATGAACCTTGTTATAGCGCTTGATTCCACATTGGTACAATGTGTGACTCCAATTTATAGTGCCCTCTACCCTACCACTGCTGGAATATTGCTAAAAGCAGTGTAAACCATATTCACCAACTCAACTAATTTAGGTAGTTTGTGGTTATAAAGTCAGTCAGTTGTTTGCTGTGTTTTCAGGTATTTTTGATGTCCATGTCAAGAGTTTGAACCCATTTACCTGTGGAAAAATAAACACCCTACACGGCTTCCAGCTGCTGGAGGCATTCCACTTCGCACTGGGAAGGGTAAACAGCAAAGAGGGCATGTTTGCTAATATCCTCAGGGGAACAACTCTTGGCGGGATCGGTCTAGATTCTTGTGAGAGCGCCATCAGGACAGGCTACCTTGTGTCCAACATCCACAATGGACTGACAAGTCTGGCAAAGAATGGCTACAAGGTTGATCCAGAACTGATCGATGTTTACCTTGGTGGCTATTCCAGTGACCGATCGATCTATCTTGCCAGAATCCTATCCGACCTCGAGATCCCTCAAATCAGTTATGCTGCTACGTCTACTGCCCTGCTTGACCAGTTCCGGTACCCTTACTTCTACCGCACTGTCCCAGCAGACGACAACCAGGTGCAGGCAATGATAACCTTCTTGAACTCCAAGGACATTCGATATGTGCAGGTACTCTACGCACAGTCCAACTATGGCGAGTTTGGTGCGGCAGCATTCAAACGTTTGGCTCCACAGAAGCGGATCTGTGTAGCTCAAATGGTGATGTTCCCTGACAACGGTACCGTGTCAAGAGAGAGTAGTAATGATGTTATCACGCAGCTGCTGGCCAAACCTGTCGCCAACACCATCGTCGTGTTTGCCGGTACAAGTTACATCAATGCTCTGCTGAGAGCCGTCCAGAGGAATCCTGGAGCTATTGGCAAGTTCCGGTTCCTGGGGTCCGAAACATGGGCAAAGAATGAAGATGCTATCCTGGGAGTTGAGGAGATTGCCAAAGGATCTGTGACATTCAATTTAAAGACACTCAACCTAAAGGTTTATGATGATTACCTCAGTGGAAAAACGCCAGCCAATTCTCAGGATAACCCTTGGTTCAGGGAATATTATGAAGAGATCCAGAACTGTTACCTGACGATCTCAGATGGCACCTACACTAAACAATGCCCCCAGACGCCAGAGAACCTTATCTCCAGCATCAGATACAAGCAGGACCCAGGTGTCCTGCACGTCATCAACTCCGTCTACTCAGCTGCCTATGCAATAGACATCACGCTTAAAGAGGTATGTTGTTTACATTTCATTATTTACAAATGTTTCAATTCGTCCTGATTTGAGTTTCTTTAATTTATTAACTTGTTGGTTTGGAAACCAATAATTTCATTAATCCTTATCAGTGTTATGGCAAGCATAACATTGTAAGTTTCAATGTATTCTATGTATGATTAAGTGTCCACGGGGAAGTAGTATCATATCGAATACTGAGGACAATAGATCATGCTTCTTATGTGGAATGAAGATTATGTTTCAGGTAAAACATACTGCTCAAATGAATACCAACTTCATAACTCGACTGTCTCAGGGTTCAGATATGAAGTATATAAGATAACATTATATCTGTTTGGTTATTGTTTTCAGCTGTGTGGCGAGAACTACACGACCGTATGCAAGGCCTATCGTAACAGGCCAGACACAAGGGATGTGATTCTGAGGAATCTCAAGAATGTGAACTTTCCTGATCCATCTGTTTGGTTATTGTTTTCAGCTGTGTGGCGAGAACTACACGACCGTATGCAAGGCCTATCGTAACAGGCCAGACACAAGGGATGTGATTCTGAGGAATCTCAAGAATGTGAACTTTCCTGATCCATCTGGGGAAAACTTCAACTTCACCGACCGCCGAGAAGGGAGCAAGGGTTATGACATCTATGATATTCAGTTCATCCCAGTGGAAGGATATGTATACAGGAAGGTAGGTCCATTTGAGAAAGTCTAGCTATAGATGGGCTGAGAGCAGTGGATAAAAGAAGAGTACAGTCTTTAAGGCAACAATGACAACAGAAACCTTGTGGTGATTCCGGGGTAGAACATCCCCAAGTAGACCACACATGTGCATGTTTTACAGATTCGACTAATGTGGGTCCGGTGGTTACGTCACCTGGATCTGCCTGGTTCTGTGATGCCATGGGTCGGTGTTCAGACTGTCAGCCATTGTTTTGCCATCCTTATTCATTTAATTATAGGTCATACATATGGCTGACTGGCATAAAACAACACTTACTAAATCACTACATCAAAAGTGTGAAAAACAAAACTCAAAAAGGAGTGGTTTCAATTGACAATGGCGACCTTCTGCATGATAATGAAGTCCACATTGATAGTGTTTAATGGGGGTGTACAAACAACAGTGGGACCATATTTCCGCACAGATGGTAACAGTTAACATTTCCTTTCAGATTGGTACCTACTCAAGCAGTGGGGCTATTGATGTTCCCTCATACACCCCAGACTGGGACGGAAGTTGCACCCGCCGAGAGGCATGCTCAGAGTGTCCTACCATCAGAAATAGAGTCATCCGGTATGCGATCTCTGGCCCGCCAACGCTTGTGACCAATGCCCTTACTGTTATTGGGATCTTTGACGTCCACAACCAAGGTACTGATGCTTACAGGTGCGGATCCTTGAGAATGGATGGCTTTAAACAGTTCAACGCCTTCTTCTACGTCATGCGTGAATTGAGTTCCGCCTTTAACCTCAACATCAGAGCTGTTGCCATTGACACATGCTCGAACAACCTTCGCGTTGGGCAGGACATCTATAACTTGTTGGAAGGAAAGGGACTTTGTAACTCGGATTTTAAAGATGGAGACGGATTGATAAGATTAAACAACATTGGTGGCTTCATAACAGCCGGTGATGAAAACACGCGTGAAGCCTCCCGAGTTCTCAACCCTTTTAAAGTTGCATACATCAGCCCAAGTGCCCCTTCTATCATCTTTAACAATACTGACCTGTATCCCTACCTCGCTAGGACGACGGCACCAAAGGGCCAACTGCTAAAGGGCATAGCCGAGTTGATGAAAGAGATGGGTTGGTCTTATGTGACAGCCGTCAGCTCAAGCTGGAGATTTGATGATGGGGGATACAGTCAGTTCCTCTCGGTATCTGGCGGTAAGACGTGTGTGAGATCATCATTCAACCTCCCTACTAATCCTACAATAGATGATGGGACTGAAGCTGTTGAACAACTCCGTGCGGCAGAAGGGTCCAACGTTGTTGTCCTCTTCACAACACAACAAGACACACTTCTGATCCTTCGGGCAGCTAAGGGGCTCAATGTCCTGGATAAATTCCTCTGGGTGTTCACAGATCCGGAAGCCACCAGCTGGGCAATGCCAAGTGATTACTACTTTAAGGCTTTGATGCTAAAACCTCGTGAGGGAAACGTCCAGGGATACGTGAATTACGAATCCGAAATGACATATTCCACAAATATGAATCACAATGACAAAAGTATCCCTAAGTCTTGGTATGAAGAATTTTATCAGAGGCATTTCAAGTGCAGATTATCAGATTCAGATGTTGTAGTGACTGAATTCACACGAGAATGTACCAAGGCGGAGAGATTCAATGGTGCTTATAATGCTACACAGGATCGCTATACTTTATCAACGGTGGCTGCTACTTATGCTTTGATTAATGGACTCTTTGATTTCCGTGGCACTAATTGTGGAATACAGACCACCCAGGACTGTTTGGCGTCACTTTCAACGGCCAGGGAGCGTCTCTTTAGTAGTCTGTTAAATATCTCATCAATTCCTTTGCATGAGAGACCGAATATCAACCCAGGGGGCGAGTTCAACGTTCGTTTCAACAAGGAAAGATTCTGGGATCCAGGCTATGTCATCGTCACATACGACTCCAGAAACAATGCTCCAAGTCAAGAGGTACGTGTTGTATATATAGTTTTCTCCATCTTTACAAAAAAAAGTTTCCACTCAATTACATCTGATATGTATGATATAGTGACCGTGTGAGTTTGATTTAACACCGATTTGAACAATATTTCATTTATATCATGGGGTTTCAGCTTGATGTGGGAGAAAAGTCCGAGGTGGTGCAAAACCCACGAGCACTCGTACGTTATTGACAAGCCATGAATCATAATCAGGTTAAATCTGGGATTTCAACCCAACATCATGGGTTTCTGTCATCCTAATGAAAACGTGTCTGCGCAGCAAATTGCGGCGGGTTAGATGCCACCATGCACCAAAATATATGATAAAAAGTAAACCATCAGATGGTCAACTGTTACTTCATCTTATCGAAACATCGGGAATCTCTAGAGTTTCAGATTGGTATTAATAATATGTTGATCAAGTAGCCAATGCCTATGAATAGATATGAAAGATATCATGATATAGATAAGTCCCCAGTATCCCATAATTATCGTGAGAGCCCACTAATGAGGATTGTTACAGCGTGTGACCTGGATGAATGTATTTCATCCACGCTCAGGCAAACCAACAATTACTGCTGGCCTAGAAACGACGTATCTGTGATAATGCTGTCTATGATGTCCAATACTCATTATCATATAAAGGCAATCATGCTTGATTCTCGTCATGATTAGCTATGCCTCGGTTATGCTTATGGTACGTATGTACAGCATAATAAAATATAATATAACGTTTCCATTCGTTTCTGGTCTATTTCAGATTGGTGACTGGGGAGGCAACGCTTTGACTGTGAATAACAGGGACAGCTTGTCCAATATCCTTTCCAACTGCCCGACAAACCAGGAATGCGGCTGCGCGAAACCAACGGAACCAACAGCACTTCCGCAGCAAGCACCATCCTACACGGGTCCAAGAAATTACTACAAGTATGCCGATGACGGAACAAGGATTTATGACTGGCCTGTGTGGGCTATAGTCGTGGCGGTGCTAACGAGTATCGGTATCCTCGTGACCATCATTATAACGCTGGTCCTCCTGCTCACGTACCCCATCAGAGGGGGGACAACCATCCTCGGCTTCATGGTCCTCTTGGGCATCTTGGGCATCTACGGCATCAACTTCGCCTTCTTCCTTCCCGCCTCCTTCGACACCTGCGCAGCCCGGCGGTTCTGCATGGGTGTTATCTATATGATTGTATTTGCTGCCTTGCTTGTCAAAGCGGTTGACAACTGGAGGTACGGGGAACTTTCATGGGAAAATCAGAAGAAGTACCGCGGTCTCACTAGTGCCTGTTCCCTGTTCATGATTGCCCTGGGCATTGTTCTCGTTCAGGCGATAGTCCCCATAATGTGGCTCATACTCATCCCGCCTACAGCGTCCAGGGTGATGGACGTCAACGGGAACGTCGCGGACCTCCTCCACGACCACATGTGGTGCGACCCCACAGACATGTACGACATTGCACTGGTCCTGTCCTTCATCTTCGTCATGTTCATCGTCCTGTTGACGTCGATATTCTCGGCGATGGCGTGGGACAGCGAGGTAAACAACAGGGAGACCAGGTGGATCCTCATCGCCTGCATCTGCACGGCTGGCTGTTTCCTGGTGTGGATGATCGTCACAACTAGTGCTGGGCCCACATATCGAGACCCTGCAGTTGCCATTGCCAACTTTATTAACGCTACAGCACTCCTCATCTGTATTCCCCTCCGGAAGACGGCGCTGCTCATAGCTTATAAGAGGGACGAGAAATTAGATAAAGACGACCCAGGTAAGAATCACGAGAATATTATTTTAATCATTTTAACTATTATTTCTCAAATACTACTATTTTATTCATTTTAACTATTTATTTCTTGGACAAAAGCCTTTTAATAAGTTTCATTAAATATGTTTTTCTTAGCATTTGGATGACTACACCATCAACACCTAATGTTTTGACTGGTTTATTGGCAAAGTTTTCATACACTGGTGAAACGAAACAAGGAAACGATTGTAGAGGAAAGCATTTGATTGGCAGGAGATTTCATGTATACCCAGAATATGACGGAGATTGTTTGACAGTTTTAGTAACACGTCCGCTACTACCGTTTCAATTAGTGTCTAATTTTCCAGACACAAAACATTAAATTGGAACAAGACAGTAAATATTCAAATGCATTAGTTTACCTTCAGTATATATGAGTCGGCAGCTGAGAAGCTGCAAATACCACTGTTTATGCTATGCACCTCAAAGTTTCATAATATAGACGTAAATTAAAGACATATATAATAGGTACATGTTGGTACAAATGTAGGAACCCGTGACGATCCGGGTTAGAATAGGTCTTCAGCAACCCATGCTTGTCGAAAGAGGCGACTTACGGGATCGGGTGGTCAGGCTGCTGGCTTGTTTGATGCATGTCATCGTGTCCCAATTGCGTGGATTGATGCTCATGATATCAATCACTGGACTGTCTAGTCCAGACTCGATTCTTTACTGATCGCCGTCATACAGCTGGAATATTGTGCAACGTTAAACAACAAACAAACAAAAACAATTATAGCAACATATATGTTGGTGATTCATTGTTTTCCTCCTACGTTTCAGGTGACTATGAAATTTACAGCCAACCCACTACTGAATATGCTAATCATGCATACGACCCTGACTATGACTTCCAGAGACAGGATTCTAAGCAAGATTCGGATGTTGGTTTCTAGGCAACATGAAAAGAACATAAGCAGGTATGCCACATCATCACAAACGACAAGATCAATCCAAAATATCTTCTTGTTTGACCTTCGAAACTAGTCTTTTGCAAAAGTAAAACAAAAACTTGATGCGTTTTTTGTTCATATTTTTGTTCAACCTTTAATTTACCCAAAATCAACCTGAGAAGATTTCCTGATGTATGTATTCAAACCCTTTACTGCATATGGTCCGCCTCGGTGACCAGGTGTATAGAGGGTTTCCCCCGATGAGGTCGGCGTTTTGATCCCCACCGCGTCACACCAAATGAATTTAAACGCAGTACTTGTTGTTACCCTGCCTAGCGCGCATGCATATCACTATATAAGTGCAATAATCTTGAATGCGACGTTAAACCCCATTTCACCCCTCACCTTTACTGCAAATTACTTTGAATTTGATTTTTACATAAGTGAATGTTTCACACATTGTAAAACAAACATTATGACAAATGTTTTCCCTTACAGGTTCACCACTTATGGTCTCGATGTGGGCCCTAAATACGTCGCTTGAAAGGAGCAAGTGCGTGGATAACAAGAATATATGCAGCACGCCCTACATCTGATATCACCAGTCATGCAATTCAAACTGTTCATTCCATCGCTTTTATACATTTGTGTAGTACGATGTTCGGTGTATATGAATATACATGTACCTACAAGACACCAATCCCCACATGAAGTGTTTCTGAAGTGTTTCTGATATAAAAGTGGCGAAACTGTAAAGTGTTTATTGCAAGTAAACAGAGAGTCGTTAATTCCCAGCAAATCGGTGCTCGATGCCTGTATATAATAAAAAGTTTGTACAGAAAAAGGTCTTGATATATTAACTTGGAAAGTTATGGCAAAATTATTGTGATATACTTTATCAACTTTTTTGTCTCAATCATGCATGGGAACCATTGATAAACATTTATCCTTTGGACATGGATATCGTGAGCAGTTGTATATTGCAAGTTTATATAATATAAATCCACAAACATAACTGCATACATGCACATCTGAATGAATTTTGGATGTGATACCATAATTATATTATATGCAGTAGACTTATAGTTGTTATGTTTATATGTGAAAATGATTGTATATACTTACTATGAATTAAATATTTTTATATGAAATTGTGTCGTGTTTTATCTGATGGCAGACATACGATCTGGTGAGTAGTGTTTATTTGCATATATATATATATATAAGATAGCTGCGCCCCTCACGATAAACAAGTCCCACTCGTCGATAGCTGCGCCCCTCACGATAAACAAGTCCCACTCGTCGTTTATTTCTTGAATAAAGTTATTGCATTCTAAATTTACAAATAGTTTGTACTTTACCACTAACAAAATAAACCCTATTACCAGTTCTCTCAGTGCGAGTATTGAAATCTCTTGGTCCCTGAATCAGAATTTATCGATCCTCACATTGGTACTCGATATTTTGATAGATAATAAGCCAAAACCCATACTCAGATGTCTATTTCTTTGGCAAACATGTCAAACTTTCGCACAGCTTCCTAAACAAAATAAACCGTTTTATAAGATATGTCTGGCAACCTGTTGTAAATGATAATGAACATGCTTTAGTACTCAAAAGAAGTAAAGGACCACCCGATGTTTCACATTACCATTGCTATGTTATGTGATGGTGGAAAAAATCGGGTGGCCCTTAAATTCTTTTGACTAGTACATTTCGAGAATGATGTGCCTGACAATGAATAATTTACAGAAAAAAGTATATTCAAAGTACATTACTTTCTTGAATCACGTGTGTTGTTGAACGCCGCTAAGTGACGGAGAATTTGTAAACATTCGAGTCTGGACCAGGCAAACCATGTCGTGATTGATCCGTGATATAGAGCGACACACAGTCGAAGTCCCCTCTTGTATACCACCAGCATCCCTTATAGGGTCTGTTCTAGTCCGGAATGGTCACGCGACTGAAATAAACAGTATGAGAGTTGTAGGTATACAAGAGGCAGTGAATATCAACAAGATGTCCAGCATGCATACAAACACACGTGGACATAGTAAAATAACAACTTCTTTTATTGTCCATGCATAGTCACCATGTCATCTCAGACTAAAAAGCATTTTTTTAGTTTGAATACATATATTCCATTTATACGGAAACGTCTCCTAGTAGTCAATATAAGGTAATATATCAGACACACCAATATTTACTTCCATAGAGACCCGTGAAGATCCGGGGTAGAATAGGTCTTCAGCAACCCATACTTGTCGTACAAGGCGACTGTGCTTATCGTAAGAGACGACTAACGGGCTCGGGTGGTCAGGCACGCTGACTTGGTTGATGCATGTCATCGATCCCAATTGCGTTGATCGATACTCATGATGTCAATCAGTGGATTGTCTGGTCCAGACTCGATTATTTACAGACGACCGTCATATAGCTGGAATATTGCTGAGTGCGGCGTTAAACAATAAATAAACAAACAAACAAAACATCCATAGCATATCTGGTTTTATATGTGAACTGTCGTGAAAGAAAGAATTCAACAAACGTCCTGTTTGATTTTATCTTGAAATGAGTAAATGTCCAATGTGTACGTTTAAGTTCGAAATAACATGAACGAAGTCTGATTGCATTCATATATATTTTATATGACGTTCAGTTGTTTCATATAAGATGTTTGTTTGATGTTTACCGCAGCAGTCAGCCTTATCACGGAACACCACGTGCAGAAAGTACATATTTATACCAAACATATGAACTGATCTAAATAAAATGTCAAATGGTCTTAAACTGAGAGACGCGGCCATAAGAATGCAAAAGGTCCTCTCTGTTGATGAATTATATTAGCAATTTATAGGAAAGTGACAGAATATTCTGAAGTTCTCGTAGTATATAAAACAAGGGATCGGCAACTGAGAATAATTCGTCATCTCAAACATACGCTTGTCTCCACTAATAATAATTGAAAAATTGTAAATGTTACACACCCTCAAAACATTGCCGCCGCTTCTCTAACAGACGCCCAGTTTCTTATACGCGTCGGGTTTAGTAACATGTATTATGCCCGTTTAGAAATCATATTAATGATCTGTTCTTGGCGCCGTGAAGAAATAACGACCGGGTCACCAATTAACGCCAAATCATTTGGATGAAATATGACAATAGCCCTCTCTATCTAGAAGCGGGTCTGGGCATGTAGCATCCTACATATTAGGGGTATGACGAAGGGGATGGGTGGACCAGTAGAAACAAACCTTCTTCGCAAATATACAGTTAAACAATAGACATCATTAAATATGAACGCGGGAACGTATTGGTAACGCAGAAAGTATGTTTTTTTGCGTTAACGTTTCCATAAACCGAAAACCAATAAGGCAATGCGGGTTTGCACGTCAGGCACACGGTTTGCACGTTTATACCTCACTAACCGCTAACACAGATCGAAGTCAATTCTCATGTAGTTCTTTTGAACAAGCATGTCGCTTAATATATACGTTCAAAATATATCTCCAATGCTTTCAAGCGCAATGATTCAAAAGGAAAAATACACCACCAACAACTTGTCAGCTCGATATGGATTCTCTGTCGCCGAACAGTTCAGACGCGGTGTGCCACATGAGAAAGTCTGATTGTGAGTGGAATCCGACAATACAGCAATGTAGAACCATCTTCACACCGTGGATCTGGCACTACCAAACGCATTGGGTAGAGCCACGGGAATTCGTACCTGCATGTCGACTACCAACACCATGTTTAATGACGTTCAGCTACGAATTGCGGCGGTTCAACAACATTGGACACCCTCTCTCACATATATGGTGACAGGTATGTAGACCCCAGGGCCCCGTTTCACAAAGCGAAGGTGGACATCAGTGTGACGGGATCAAGGATCTAATGTTTGTTTTGATGACGTATAGGTACCGTGTCACTATAGTGGGGACCAGCTGAACGGACATTCACATATACTTTATTCAAATGTTACATACTGAGTGAATTAAAACTCGTATCAAATCAACTAGTATCAGTCACTAATACACATATTAACATCGTTCACGGAGGATATAATTCAAGCTGGCAAAGTGGCATTGTGTCATTTGGAACACTGCAAATGTAGCGGCTAGGGCTGGGACAGGTAACTCGGGTACTCGGGTCGGGTGGGTATGAATAGGACCGGGTACCCACAGGACTACCCGGACCCGTTGTTAGTCATGTGATATATATAGTTAAATGACAAAAATTATGTGGAACTTTATGGTTACACTACAAGTGACTAATGTTTGCATTTCTTTCTGACTATGCACCCATTCCTTCTGACTTTTTATATGGTTGAATAAAGATAACGTTAGTCAACTTCAGTGTATGCATGACCAGATCGTTTAATACATGTATCTAAATACGTTTTGCAAGCGCTGTGGTAAAAAAAAATCCCAATCGGACATTTTGTATCCTTTGAGACCTACAGTGGGTACCCGGGTACGGGTCGGGTAATAGTGGGGTGGGTAATCGGGTAGTGAATTTGGACTCGTCCCAGCCCTAGTAGCGGCCATAAAATTTCCGAGTCCCGTGATGGGATTCGAACCACGGACTTTCTGATCCGAGGTCGGACGCCTTGTCCACATGACCAAACAGGTTAACCCCGTCAGCAAGTTGACAAGGTAAGGATGTCATCTGTGGGATGACTCCACGCCCTGTTACATACACCCCCGTCAACAGAAGGCACGTCCCGGGCCGCACAGTAGGGTACTGCGGCTTATTTTGCTCAAATTTAATATGAACGTGCTCAGTCCCACGTTGGGCGCCAATGTAGCGGCCATAAAATTTCCGAGTCCCGTGATGGGATTCGAACCACGGACCTTCTGATCCGAGGTTAACCAACCCCGTCAGCAAGCTGACAACGTAAGGATGTCATCTGTGGGATGACTCCACGCCCTGCTACACAAACGCAAAGTTAAATCTCAAGTCCATTCCGTTTCAATCTCCCACAGTATGTAATTGATCTGTTTCACAATTGTCACTGCTAGTTAAAGCTATGTATTTCATTGAAAAGTCTTGCTACAGCTGCGCCACCCCCCATCCCACAATATATACATATATAAACGAACAAATAAATACATAATGACAATCCACTAATACTATTGTTTATAGCTGTACCTTGCCGATCTTGCGCGCATGGCATTTGACAGATATAGTGGCTCCGATATAGTAAGTAATAATCAGATGGTATTCCGTGGGCGGGAATATGTCTGAATAAGTGGGTGTTTTTCCAACTATCTACATACAAACTGAACCTGCTTAGACCTAAAATACTTGGCAAACAAGACACCTCATTTCGGTGTGGGGTATAGATGTAGGTGTTAATACAGTATAGAAGCAATTGTAATATTACCAACAGGGTTTCGCTTGAAATAAACGGAGTCAAGAAAGCTCGAAGAGTTGGAAAACATCTCAGGGTTGCATTTGCGGCTTATAGTCTAACCAGAATTTGAGAGTAACGTCCCTTTTACTCAAGCTCCTCAAGCTCCTTCCCAGCGCGTGACACCTTCATTACACTCTCGGTAACATAGCTCCGCGAACGGGCTATCGCTGTGAGGAGATTGCAAGCTCCTTCCCAGCGCGTCGGTAGCATAGGGAGCTCCGCGAACGGGATATCGCTGTAAGGAGCTTGCGGATCGCTTTCTTTCATCCACTGACGTCGACTAAAAATAGACGGGGACTTGTCGGACTGGTTTGAGAACCGGGGAAACCACGGTATAATGAGCCGATATTGTCATCACAGCATGGGCAGGTTATTTCTGGAGGCAATCATTCAGCATTCTACACCCAGCTCACAACCTGTTTTATCGGGGAAGGGCCAAAATCATTGGGCCGGTTTGCGGGTGGAACGAGAAGGATCTCAAAATATAACGTCAAAAAGGAGACAGCGGTTCTTCGACTAGAATAGGACCGTTTGGTCCGAGTTTCTGGATTTAATGTCAGTTTGAATATAAGGTAATTTATTATACAGTGTCTGTATATTGTACAGCAATTATGTATGAGAATTATGCACGATAACTGTTAGCTGTGGCTTCGGGAGGGGCATACTAGACCTAATGCAATATCACTATATATATATGCTGTGTCTTGACTCTATATGTTGTTATGATAATGACAGTGGTAAATCCTTTTTAGTTACGTAAATTCTAAGTAATATTTGGTAAACTGACATTTTGGAATCAACGAACAAGTAATGATTATAAATATTGTTGTCGTGTTTATGTTTTCAGTTTGTGCTCTTCTGAGGACAAATTACTCAACCAAGCTTAGCTTACTGACAAGACTCAAATTAGCATACTATACTTTCTCATGATTTTAAACACTCAAAATGTCCTTCTCATCTTTGACTCAATAATACTAACTGTTCCATAACCGACTGATAACAGCAACGAATATGCAGCATGAATTCAGGTTTACAGCTTCAAAATGAACATGCTCATTTACAATGATGATTTACCATGTTTAAAGCTAACACCTCACCATGTTCTCATTTAAACATGTTTAATGCCTATACTCCTTGCCAAACTGCCCAATAGTTACGGTATAAAGTTCTTGTAGAAATTTGTCATTATTTAGGGTTTTGCTGTATGATATCATTTTAAGGACTAGTGGAATATAACATTTAGTTTCTGTCACTGCCTAGTGCCCATCATACCTACTGCTACAGTACCTGACCACAGTAATACTATATTTAGGTGTACTGTTTTAAAAAAAATCATGGGTACAGTGTTGGAATATTAAGGGACCTGATGTCCTTGCAATTTTCTGCTATAGTATTTCATGTTAATGTTAGGTTAATATGACAAGGGCTCCTGGACTTTCTGGACTCATTCTTAGTTATTAGATGCTGTAGTTCCATAACACTTTGCATCCAACTCCATGGACTTTGCTGTACATGGTATACTTTGGGACAAATTCACTTTGTTTTGTTTGCTATGTTTTTAAAAAAAAAATTATAAAGGAGGGATATTCTTTGAAAACTTGTTTAAATATTCTTTCAAATTGTGATAAACTACATTGGTTTTTTTTATTTTCAAATAAAAATGGTTCCTTAATTGTGTTCAATTTGTTTTTTCAGTAGTTGAAAAATGGTTTCACTACATGGAGTCTTGGTGGTCACAGTGACCTGTCTGGCGCTGGTCACGAGTCAGTCTCTGAGTCGACAGACATGTGATGCTGCCAAGTCAGAAGTATCCATACAGCCAGGTGCCGATGCCATCATTGGAGGTGTATTGGCTATGCATGAGGAAGGAACAAATGGATTTGGCTGTGGAACAATTACTTCAGGTGAGATGCCTTTAATGTTTGATGAACATGATAGTGGAAAAGATTCATTTTAGATGGGACCAATAATGAAGGAATGGGCTAACAGCTTTAGTTACCATTAACAATGAAATCATTAATATTTTTATTGAAATCACTATTAACATGATAAACTTAATCGCAAAGATTGTTATCACTCAGGATACTAGGATACTTCTTTCAGAATTGTTGTTATCAGCAAGATGAGGCTTTGTATGTGATGGACGTGATGTAACATGATCTAACAAATAGTTAGAAAATAAGGCTTCTTACATCAAAGTTACAGTTGTGAAAAAAGAATTTAACTTTTGGGGAAATTCCTCATTATCATTGTCTAGCTAGCATAGTACAAACTAACTTGTTTAAAGTCACTGTGGTCACTACGATTCTTCCACAATTCTACAATTTCTACAAGTGTGTGTCTTTGGAAGCATTTTTGGTTAGACTAAGTTTGCAGTAACCTATGCTTCCCATATGTGCTGACTACAGGCATTGGGCCTGTTGGTCAGACTCAGTTACTTGGTTGAACATGTGTTGCAATCTCCTGATAGCGTGCTCATGGTGTCAATCTCTGGTTTGTCTGGTCCAGACTCTTCTTATTTAGAGGCTGCACAAACAACCAGATATTAGACCAGGCCTGTTATTACCATGTTTAGCCTGTGAGGACATATTGAGTGAATGAACAATAAGCTGCAGTTTGTTATTAACGTGCCTGCACAGGAGACCAGGGCAGAATTTCTGCAGCTATGCTCAGTTATGTATAGTTTTCACAAAAAATGTAGATCTGGAATGTCTGAAATACATACGATTTGTTTTGTTCTGTGTACTTTCTTTAGAATCTTCCATCAATCTGTGGTGTTACCGATATTTATTGTGGTTACTGAAAGACTAGTCTTCATATTTACCTATCTGTAAAACAGATGTTTACCACTTGGGTGAAACCCACGAGCACGGGTATGGTGCTGACATATTTGTCTTTAGAACTAGTCATCATGTTTACTTGTCTGTATGACTAGTCATCATGTTTACTCTTCCGTATGACAAGTCATCATGTTTACTCTTCCGTATGACTAGTCATCATGTTTAATCTTCCGTATGACTAGTCATCATGTTTACTTGTCTGTGTGACTAGTCATCCTGTATACTCTTCCGTATGACTAGTCATCATGTTTACTTGTCTGTATGACTAGTCATCAAGTATACTCTTCCGTATGACTAGTCATCATGTTTACTTGTCTGTATGACTGGTCATCATGTATACTCTTCCGTATGACTGGTCATCATGTTTACTCTTCCGTATGACTAGTCATCATGATTACTCTTCCTTATGACTAGTCATCATGTTTACTCTTCCGTATAACTAGTCATCATGTTTATTTGTCTTTAATGAGTGAGTGAGTTGTGTTTAACGCTGCTTTTAACCGTATTCCAGTTATATCACGGCACGTCTATTTAATGTAGGAGGAAAGCCCGAAGTGGTGCAGGTCTCAGATGTTTACCACTTCGGTGAAACCCACGAGCACGGGTATGGTGCTGACATATTTGTCTTTAGAACTAGTCATCATGTTTACTTGTCTGTATGACTGGTCATCATGTTTACTTGTCTGTATGACTGGTCATCATGTTTACTTGTCTGTATGACTAGTCATCATGTTTACTCTTCCGTATAACTAGTCATCATGTTTATTTGTCTTTAATGAGTGAGTGAGTTGTGTTTAACGCCGCTTTTAACCGTATTCCAGTTATATCACGGCACGTCTATTTAATGTAGGAGGAAAGCCCAAAGTGGTGCAGGTCTCAGATGTTTACCACTTGGGTGAAACCCACGAGCACGGGTATGGTGCTGACATATTTGTCTTTAGAACTAGTCATCATGTTTACTTGTCTGTATGACTAGTCATCATGTTTACTCTTCCGTATGACTAGTCATCATGTTTACTCTTCCGTATGACTAGTCATCATGTTTACTCTTCCGTATGACAAGTCATCATGTTTACTTGTCTGTATGACTAGTCATCATGTATACTCTTCCGTATGACTGGTCATCATGTTTACTTGTCTGTATGACTAGTCATCATGTTTACTTGTCTGTATGACTAGTCATCATGTATACTCTTCCGTATGACTAGTCATCATGTTTACTCTTCCTTATGACTAGTCATCATGTTTACTCTTCCGTATAACTAGTCATCATGTTTATTTGTCTTTAATGAGTGAGTGAGTTGTGTTTAACGCTGCTTTTAACCGTATTCCAGTTATATCACGGCACGTCTATTTAATGTAGGAGGAAAGCCCGAAGTGGTGCAGGTCTCAGATGTTTACCACTTCAGTGAAACCCACGAGCACGGGTATGGTGCTGACATATTTGTCTTTAGAACTAGTCACCATGTTTACTTGTCTGTATGACAAGTCATCATGTTTACTTGTCTGTATGACTGGTCATCATGTTTACTTGTCTGTATGACTTGTCATCATGTTTACTTGTCTGTATGACTAGTCATCATGTTTACTCTTCCGTATGACTAGTCATCATGTTTACTCTTCCGTATGACTAGTCATCATGTTTACTCTTCCTTATGACTTGTCATCATGTTTACTTGTCTGTATGACTAGTCATCATGTTTACTCTTCCTTATGACTTGTCATAATGTTTACTTGTCTGTATGACTAGTCACCATGTTTACTTGTCTGTATGACTTGTCATCATGTTTACTTGTCTGTATGACTGGTCATCATGTTTATTTATCTTTAGAACTAGTCACCATGTTTACTTGTCTGTATGACTAGTCATCATGTTTACTTGTCTGTATGACTAGTCATCATGTTTACTTGTCTGTATGACTGGTCATCATTTTTACTTGTCTGTATGACTGGTCATCATGTTTATTTATCTTTAGAACTACCTGTCTGTCTTAGCACATGGAGTGTTTGCAAGCTTATGTAACGGCCATAAAATTTCCGAGTCCTATGATGGGATTCGAACCACGGACCTTCTGATCACAGGTCGGACGCCTTGTCCACATGACCAAAGAGGTTAACCCTGTCAGCAAGCTGACAAGGTAAGGATGTCATCTGTGGGATGACTCCACGCCCTGCTACATACTCCCCCGTCAACAGAAGGCACGTCCCGGGCCGCATAGTAGGGTACTGAGGCTTATTTTGCTCAAATTTAATATGAACGTGCTCAGCCCCACGTTGGGCGCCAATGTAGCGGCCATAAAATTTCCGAGTCCCGTGATGGGATTCGAACCACGGACCTTCTGATCCGAGGTCGGACGCCTTGTCCACGTGACCAAAGAAGTTAACCCCGTCAGCAAGCTGACAAGGTAAGGACCTCATCTATGGGATGCCTCCACGCCCTGCTACATACTCCCCCGTCAACAGAAGGAACGTCCCGGGCCGCATAGTAGGGTACTGAGGCTTATTTTGCTCAAATTTAATATGAACGTGCTCAGCCCCACGTTGGGCGCCAATGTAGCGGCCATAAAATTTCTGAGTCCCGTGATGGGATTCGAACCATGGACCTTCTGATCCGAGGTCGGACGCCTTGTCCACATGACCAAAGAGGTTAACCCCGTCAGCAAGCTGACAAGGTAAGGATGTTATCTGTGGGATGACTCCATGCCCTGCTACACTTACATTATGGTTGGGAAAGAACTAACAACCTACAAGAGTATATGTGTTGTAACTGCAGCATGTGTTTGTGTGTGTGTAGATATGCAAGCCTATGAAGCGATCCGCTGGGCACTGGAGCTGCTCAACAAGAAGGACCAGATCCTGAACGGCGATAACCTCACCAGTACCTATGTCCCCGGCATCAAGTTAGGTGAGTGGTCACAGCTGTAGCTGTCTGATTGTCTCAAATATTGACATTTATTGGGAGTGCTTATCCCAAAAGGTTGAACACTTAAAATCAAGTATCTGACTATGGTCACCATGCCACATACACAGATACATCGTGGACATTGACAAGTCTCAGACTAGTATTCCAGACTCAAATTTAACCAATTATGTATTGGCAACAATTGTAGTCCATGTATGTTTTAATGTTGTTGACCTTAGCCTACTCAACAGAAACTGTTTTTCCTAGACTAAGGTCTTGGACTAGTGGCAGACAAACTAAAGTTTCAGACTGTTTTGCCAATATGATATTGGATAATGATGCTTGTCCATGTTTGTAGGTATAAATATCCGTGACTACTGCAGCCGGAGTGAGGGGGCGGTTTCGGCGGCACAGAGCTACTTCCCCCAGTTCTCCTCCAACACCCAGGCCTGTACAAGGAGTGCTTCAGGAATCACACTAGGTCAGTCCACCACCTACTTCTCCACACAGGCCATAATCTATTTTTTAATTATTATTATTGTTGTTGTTGTTGATTGTAGTGTAATGTCTTTTCAGAAAACCCCAAATGTTTCTATTACATGCTTTTAGAATACATAATCATGATAATTCACTGAAGATGTAATGAAAGATATGATTGTGCCCCCACCAGGTATTGTCGGGGCTTCAGACAGCGATGCAAGTATTGATGTATCCAACTTTGCTGAAAACTTCAACATCCCTGTGGTGTCCTTCATGGCTACTGCCCCTGAGCTGAGCAGTGCCCAGCGTTACCCCACGTTCATGAGGACAATCCCTCCGGACGGACCACTCATGGATGTAAGTAGGGAGAAACTCGGGATCAGATCCAGCCTTGGGACTATCAACATGAACAAATTAGTAATTGTGTTAACCCTGCGTTATCCCTTTTCCATGCAGTTCTTCTGAGAAATGACATGCGTATGCAGAGCTATGTTGAAGTATGTCTTTTTGTTCCAGGTGGTTATTGAAGCTATCAAGAAATTCAACTGGAAATATATCAGTATAGTTTACACCGACAACTCCCATGGCCGCCAGTCATATGGAGAAATACGTCCTCGCTTGGTGACTGCTGGTATCTGTCTCACTGCTGCCATCGCCACATCTCCCTCCGACACCATAGATGCCACCATTGATGCTGTCTTGGACCGTCTGCTCCTCACTAAGACGGTTGGAGTCCTGTATTTTGGCACACCCTCTGTAGCGTATGCTCTCCTTGAACGAAGCAATAATGCTGCATACACTAACATGGGTAATCTGCAGTGGGTGTTCACAGATAGTATTTCTCTAACCAAAAACTTTGGAACAAATAACTACCCCCGTGGAATTATTTCCATCATACCTACATCCAGGTATATCGTGGAATTTGAAGATCATTGGGTAAGAATAAATGAAAACAGTCCTTCACCAGAGAACCCCTGGTTCCAAGAATGGTACAGCGAACAGAACCAGTGCTTTTTCCCAACAGTTGGCAACGGTCGATTCCCTACTCCATGCAGCAACAAGATCCAAACAGAACGCCAGAAACGGGAATCTTTCATCCAGGACCGATTTGTAGAACCAGCTGTTCATGCTGTGTATACCTATGCTGTTGCTCTCCGTAATGCACAGGCAGCAGTGTGTGTGGGCCTAGAAGCAAACACGTCCTGCTTGGCTCTCCGCAGCATGACCTCCAAGACCTTCCTGGAGAACTACCTGATGAAGGTGAACTTCACCTATGGGAAACAGGAGAGGGCGCCAAGTCTGGCCTCCGACAAGTACGCACCTTACTTCTCAGCAGCAAAGGTCCGCTACAACGAAAACGGAGACATTGTTAACCCAGCCTACGATATTTGGAACTTCAACGATGCCCCAGTCGGAGGGGATACCCTGGGATTCAAGTTCAGAAGGGTTAGTAGAAGAAATTAGTTAAATTGTTTTCGGTTTCCATTTTCAGGTTAACTGTGTGTAATTTGGTTTGGTCTTGAAAATTATTGGGAAGAATTGTGGTCTCTTTTGAAGAAAATGTTTGCTTGTTTGGGTTTTTGACTATGCTACAGATTTGCTTGAATGAGTTGAGACATTCTTTTTGTGATTTTTTCAAAGGTACTCATATTGCTAGATCGAACTAAGTTATCAGAAAAGTAAACATGGTAGACAATGGTAAAGTGTCATTGAATCAGGGGTCCGGAAAATTTAAAATCCCAATCGGACATTTGCATTTAGGCCACGCCCCCATCAAATAGCGTATTTTAGTACGACTTTTCACACACATTACAAGTTTACGTATTCATAATATGATGAATTATGAATTGTTTCAATTTAAATTGTTTAATTCACCGGACAATTATATATAACATATAATATCATTTTAGATTAACATGGAAAACATACGTTTGTTTCTGTTATAATAACGATCTGTTAACGTAGTGAACGGTCTAATTAATATTCATGAGTTATATTCATGAGTCTGCTCAAGTGTACGCATTGTAACATTTGGATCGAGACTATTATCCCATATTTGGTTATCACGTGACCTCTTGGGAAAAGTTTTTTTTTAAACTAAATATTTTTTTAAAAACAAGACAGATAATTTAATCACAAATACTAAAATATCGTTGATAGCAATAGTTATTTGAATAATTTTTTCATCTGTACTTAATTATTGACCATAAAAAAATTGGATATGCGATCGTCCGAGAAAGCAAAATGGCGGTCAATCAAGATTCAATATACGACTAGTTACTGAAAACAATTAAATCTGAAAATCCTCATTGTATGTCAACCAAGTGAAAGTCGTTAGCCACGACTTACAAAATGATCATCCAGACTTTGAGGGTTTGGCAGATCCGCTCGACTGATCTGCATCGGTCGACTGGCTGTCGTCACGCTTTCGCTTCTTGTCTTAGGTTACGTATCGTAGCATTGTGAGGATAATGAGGTACATCGATGATGCAAGGTATTAATGTACAGTTGTAAACACCTTTCACTCAAATTAACAAGATGTTCTCAGTAATTAATCCTCGATTAATCAGTGTCAACTCAGTTTATTGCCTATTACAGTGATTGACCGATTGGACTATCACGTAGGTACGATGTATTTTCAGCAATCAAAACAAACAAAGCTTGTCAGTGTAGTTAATCTTCATTGTGTTGCAACTGCAGACAGAAACTGCTCAGTCCTAACTGTTGATCATGTCCGGTCAAAATTTAAGAATGTCCGGACAATACGTTTTAAAATGTCCGGTAAGCAATATTTTAAAACGGACATTTGAGATTCCCAATCGGACATGTCCGGCGCATATGACGGTTTCCGGACCCCTGCATTGAATGCTTAAAGTCTCATTTGGATTGCCCAAGTCACTCATTATAATGCATTATGACCTCAGTTGGTGTGTTTTACTTCGAGGTATTTTATTACAAAAGATGTTGAAAACAAAAAGTCATAGATTTATTTACATGTATGATTTCTACTGATGTCTTCCTTCAACCTCTGATCACTGTTTGCTTATGCTGTTATGGTAAAACAGATAAATCTAAAACAGAAACACTGATTGTTTTAAACTTTTCATACCCCCAACTTAAAAGTTACACCAAGGAATTCTGTCCGCCCATCAATCCTTCGAGGACATTGTTTGTGTGTGACCTGTAATTTGAAGACTACTTCATAGATTCTTTTCAAACTTGGTGAACACTTTCTATGCTAACAGGATAGGTGCAGTGTGATATTTTTCATGTTTTGAACTTGTTGAATATTTGTGCGATCTAAAACTTGAAAACTACTTCATGGATTCTTACCAATTGGAACAAATGGGAGAGATGCAGTGCAGAGTTTTATTTTGATAAGTGGGTTTTCTGAGAAAATGTTGCATTCTTCATGTTTTAAACTTAGAAATATGTTGAGACGAAGTCAGGGGGGATTAATGAGAGCTGCCACTTTCTGCCTTGTTATGCTTGTCATCATTATGTTCACTGTTTGCAGGTTGGGTCTTGGATCAACGGGATTCTGTCAATGAACATGGAACAAGTGAGGATGTACGACCTTACTCGGGACAATGCACTCTCCCCCCTGCCACCGTCTCCCTGCCCACAGGATGGCTGCACTCCCTGCCTCGGCATGCCTTCTCCCACCAAGTACCTCTACATCCACGGGGACATCATCGTCAATGGCATCTTCAGTGTACACAACGCTGGAGAACAGCAGTACTCCTGTGGACCTTTGGACCTGAATGCCCGTTCAGGAGTGCAGTATTTGGAAGCCATGGCCTACGCCTTGAGAGAAGTTCCCAACAGGTTCAAGTCCTTTAACCCTCAGTTCCTGAGAGGTGTCAGTTTGGGGGGTCTGGGAATTGATGACTGTAAGAGCGGAACGCTGTCTAGAAACTTCATCTCTGAAGTTCAGAGAGGCACGCTTGTAGTGGAGGACTCCTCCGGGAACACTTTAGACCCCCGAAGTGTTGATGCTTATGTGGCTGCTCACACCTCAGGCTTGACAATTCCCATTGCTGACTTAATGAATGATGTCAAGAGGCCACTGGTGGGGTACTCCAGTACATCAAGTATGTTGTCTGACCGTAGAAAATACCCCTACTACCTGAGAATTCATCCTGGAATTGATGAGGAAATGGCAGCCATTATCAACATCTTGAAGAAGCAGGGCTGGTACTTTGTACAAGTCGTGTATGTTGAGGGAAATGCTTTCTCGTTAAATGGAAATGAAGTCTTCAAGAAAATGGCAGCTACACATGGTATTTGTGTTGTTGCAACTCACAGTTATGGCCGTGACATCATCTCCAGGCTCAGAAGCCGACCAATGGTCAAGCCAGTTCTCGTCATTGCTCACGAATCTCAATACCGAACCTTCCTTGAAGACATCATCAATGCCAACGCAACTGGAGAGTTTGCCATCCTGGCTAATTCTCCTTTCGGGAGGAAACAGAAATTGGTTCAAGGTTTGGAAGAAGCAGCCGATGGGGTTATCTCCATTAAATGGCGTGTCCCCGACCTCACATTTTTCAGCACGTATCTGAGCGGCCTGAGAGCAGACACTAACCAGCAAAACCCTTGGTTCACTGAGTGGTTTGAGAACATGTTTGACTGTTATATCGGACCACAAAACCCGAATGGAAAAGCAGCGCGGTGTGCTGATCGTAATAGACCTATTACGCAGGCACCAAATTTTGAGCTTACGGAAGAGAGCATCTTTGTAATAAACTCAGTGTATGCAGTGGCTCATGGACTCCACACGACCCTGGTAGAATACTGCGGTGTCAACTACAATGGTGTATGTGGCAACTTCACAAGCTCAGGAACACGTGGAAACCGCCTGTTGGAGAATATCAGAGCTTCAAGGTTCAGGCTGGAAGGATCGAACCCTCCGACAGATTTCTCTTTCATTGGCTATGAGGGCAATGTCATGATCGATGTGTACAACTACCGACGGAACACAGGCTATATCCTTGTGAGTTCTCAGGGCTACACTATTATGTGCAATAACTGAGTAGGGGCTGTAACAGCTTGCTGGATCCCTGGGGGGACCCAAAGGGGGAACCAGACACTACTTTTCTGTCCTATATATACACAGAAACCTGTGATTGTGGGTTTGAATCCTGGTTCACCCTTATTGTGTTTCTATTTGTTTCGATTTGGTTTGTCAGCACCATACCTGTGCTCGAGGGTTTCACCTAAGTATGTGAACATCTGAAACCTGCATCACTTTTGCTTCCCTCCAACATTAAGCTGACACACTGTGATACAACTGGAATACTGTTTGAAGTAGTGTTAACATGGTTAAGCCACTCAAGTCACTCATTTAGTATGTTTGAAATCATCCAAACCAAATTGGTTGAAACACAATTTAGGCAGCTTTCGGAGAATTTTGCTATAAAAAAAGAACATTTAATACTTTTACTCGTACAGTGAAAATAGTAGACGCCCACCTGCATTCCGCCCCCATTTCAAGTATCCTGTGGGGAAATTATTACTTTTGACAGTTTACCTGTGATCTGATCTAGGAAGTGAACATTAATCATGTTAAAATTAATTAAAAGTGTTCAGGAAAATGAGTTGTTTTTCCTGCTTATAGTAAACATAGTGACTGCACTAGTAATGTATGTCTGTCAACAAGGTCCTGCTTTTGGTTAGTTGTATTCGTACATTACACTCTTTTGTTCAGTTTTCTCATCTCATCAATTTGCTGTCTTGTAGGTGGGAGAATTCAGTCCGGAGACATATGGTTACACTGAAAGCACCAGCCTCCTGTTGAGTGGGGGAGCGGCCCCAGCCACCTTCATGTCGATGTGTCCTGGGACCTGCACTGAGTGTCTTTACATCTTCCAGGAAATGAAGTACCAATACATCGAAGGCGACATCATCATCCCCGCCATCTTCGATGTCCACATGGGAGGTATGACACGTTTCACTTGCGGAAAGATGCGTGTGAGCAATGGATTTCAGTACACAGAGGCCTTTGCCTATGCCCTCCAGATGATCAACAATGGGGCCATGTTTAACAATGTCCGTCTGGGCGGTCTGCTGTTGGATGGTTGCAGCAGCTCCTCAAGATCCAAGGCTCTCATCAACAGCATCTACTCCAGTCAGCTGATGCTACAGGACAGCAACATGAACCCCATCAGAACCCAGGACTTTCTTTCCTGGATGAGCTATGATAGCAAGAGCACCATTGAGGTCTCAAACATACTCAGTCAGATTGGCGTTCCCATCGTCAGCCCTGCAGCGACAGCACCTCTGCTGGATGACAAGGATCGGTTTTCCACTTTCTTCCGTACGATCAAGTCTGACATGCATGTTGTAAGAGCCATGGCCAAGCTTATAAAACAATTAGGTTTTAATTACGTCATCACCCTGAATGCACCTGACTTCAGCAGTAGAGAGTCGAGGGACGAGTTCCGTAACTTGGCTAAGGATGAGGGAGTGTGCCTCCTTGATTCCTACGAGTTTGACACTGATGGAAGTATGGACATAATCCTAAGATCTATAAATGTATCCACAACGCAAGTTGTTGTTGTATTCGCAGAACCAGATTCCTACATTTCTGAGCTGCTCCGTGCAAAACAAAGATCGTATCCGAACAACCGTATCATCTTCATCGCTAACAGACGCTGGACCCTGCCATCAGATGTCAGTCAAACAGTTCCCAATTCTATAACATTCAACTTTAACTCTCCCTCAGTGCCTGCGTTCACAAGCTACCTGGCAAGCAAGAGGCCCACCATGACTAACCCCAACCCTTGGTTCCGAGAGTACTATGAGGAACGCTACCAATGCAACCTTCCAGGAACATTCCGCTTCCTCGTAAACTGCGACCAGAATTACGTAAGTGTCACAACAGCTAATTACATACAAGACCTGCGAGTCCTGTCCACTATCAACGCTGTGTACTCCATTGCTGAAGGAGTGAAGCGTACACTGGAGGAGAAGTGTGGCAGCCAGCCTGGCGTCTGTAAGAACTTCACTAACAGTGCTGATACATATGAGAAAATCATGGCGCACATGGATGTTATGAACTTTACTGATGTCATGGGAGACTTCTTCCGCTTCATCAACAGGGAGGCAGATCGAGGCTACACGATTGAACAGTTTCTTGATAATGGGTCTCAGGTGAAGGTATGCATTGTCCCTATTCAACATTATGTGTATTTGATTACAAAAAGAGCATGGGGGGCCAGTGATGCGAGTGGTGGTATGAGCTGCTGTAATTCGCAAAGTTGGGTCCATTTGTTATGTCAGGATATACTGATCAGGAGTTTAAATTTATCAGATGATGATCTTTTGTTTGTCAGCAACATGAAGGTTTCACACAAAGTAGTAAATGTTGGAGACAGAAAACGGACCTGCAACACCTAGGTTAGTCCTGCCACATTAAACTGCTGTGATGTAACTGAAATACTTTACAAAGCTGCATTCCCAACCCTTTTAACCAACCCCACAACACCTACCAATATAGCCACAGTTACTCACCCTCTCTCCCAAACACATAGACACCTACCAATATAGCCAGTCACTCACCCTCTCTACCACACACATAGACACACCTACCAATATAGCCAGTTACTCACCCTCTCTCCCACACACAGACAGACACACCTACCAATATAGCCACAGTCACTCACCCTCTCTCCCAAACACACAGACACCTACCAATATAGCCAGTCACTCACCCTCTCTCCCACACACAGGCAGACACACCTACCAATATAGCCACAGTCACTCACCCTCTCTCCCAAACACACAGACACCTACCAATATAGCCAGTTACTCACCCTCTCTACCACACACATAGACACACCTACCAATATAGCCAGTCACTCACCCTCTCTACCACACACATAGACACACCTACCAATATAGCCAGTCACTCACACTCTCTCCCACACACAGACAGACACACCTACCAATATAGCCACAGTCACTCACCCTCTCTACCACACACACACAGACACACCTACCAATATAGCCAGTTACTCACACTCTCTCCCACACACAGACAGACACACCTACCAATATAGCCAGTCACTCACCCTCTCTCCCACACACACACAGACACCTACCAATATAGCCACAGTCACTCACCCTCTCTACAACACACATAGACACACCTACCAATATAGCCAGTCACTCACCCTCTCTCCCACACACAAACAGACACACCTACCAATATAGCCAGTCACTCACCCTCTCTCCCACACACACACAGACACCTACCAATATAGCCACAGTCACTCACCCTCTCTACAACACACATAGACACACCTACCAATATAGCCAGTCACTCACCCTCTCCCACACACAGACAGACACACCTACCAATATAGCCACAGTCACTCACCCTCTCCCACACACACACACACACACCTATCAATATACCTAGTCACTTACCCTCTCCCTCTCACACACACACACCTACCAATATACCCACAGTCACTCACCCTCTCCCTCACACTCACACACACACACCTACCAATATACCCACAGTCACTCACCCTCTCCCTCTCTCACACACACACTTACCAATATACCCACAGTCACTCACCCTCTCTCACACACACAGACAGACACACCTACCAATATACCCACAGTCACTCACCCTCTCCCTCTCTCACACACACACCTAACAATATACCCACAGTCACTCACCCTCTCCCTCACACACACACACACAGACACACCTACCAATATACCCACAGTCACTCACCCTCTCCCTCACACACACACACACACACACACACACACCTACCAATATACCCACAGTCACTCACCCTCTCCCTCTCACACACACACACCTACCAATATACCCACAGTCACTCACCCTCTCCCTCTCACACACACACACACACACACACACACACACACACACACACCTACCAATATACCCACAGTCACTCGACCTCTCCCTCTCACACACACACACACACACACACACACACACACACCTACCAATATAGCCAGTCACTCACCCTCTCCCACACACAGACAGACACACCTACCAATATACCCACAGTCACTCACCCTCTCCCTCTCACACACACACACCTACCAATATACCCACAGTCACTCACCCTCTCCCTCTCACACACACACACACACACACACACACACCTACCAATATACCCACAGTCACTCACCCTCTCCCTCTCTCACACACACACACACACACACACCTACCAATATACCCACAGTCACTCACCCTCTCCCTCTCACACACACACACCTACCAATATACCCACAGTCACGCACCCTCTCCCTCTCACACACACACACACACACCTACCAATATACCCACAGTCACTCACCCTCTCCCTCACACACACACACACACACACCTACCAATATACCCACAGTCACTCACCCTCTCCCTCACACACACACACACACACACACACACACACACATACCTACCAATATAGCCAGTCACTTACCCTCTCCCTCTCACACACACACACCTACCAATATACCCACAGTCACTCACTCTCTCCTTCACACACACACACACACACACACACACCTACCAATATACCTAGTCACTTACCCTCTCCCTCTCACACTCACACACCTACCAATATACCCACAGTCACTCACCCTCTCCCTCACACTCACACACACACACACACACACCTACCAATATACCCACAGTCACTCACCCTCTCCTTCACACACACACACACACACACACACACACCTACCAATATACCTAGTCACTTACCCTCTCCCTCTCACACTCACACACCTACCAATATACCCACAGTCACTCACCCTCTCCCTCACACACACACACACACACACACCTACCAATATAGCCAGTCACTCACCCTCTCCTACACACAGACAGACACACCTACCAATATACCTAGTCACTTACCCTCTCCCTCTCACACACACACACCTACCAATATACCCACAGTCACTCACCCTCTCCCTCTCACACACACACACACACACCTACCAATATAGCCAGTCACTCACCCTCTCCCACACACAGACAGACACACCTACCAATATACCTAGTCACTTACCCTCTCCCTCTCACACACACACACCTACCAATATACCCACAGTCACTCACCCTCTCCCTCTCACACACACACACCTACCAATATACCCACAGTCACTCACCCTCTCCCTCTCTCACACACACACACACACCTACCAATATACCCACAGTCACTCACCCTCTCCCTCTCTCACACACACACCTACCAATATACCCACAGTCACTCACCCTCTCTCACACACACAGACAGACACACCTACCAATATACCCACAGTCACTCACCCTCTCCCTCTCTCACACACACACCTAACAATATACCCACAGTCACTCACCCTCTCTCACACACACAGACAGACACACCTACCAATATACCTAGTCACTTACCCTCTCCCTCTCACACACACACACCTACCAATATACCCACAGTCACTTACCCTCTCCCCCTCACACACACACACCTACCAATATACCCACAGTCACTTACCCTCTCCCCCTCACACACACACACCTACCAATATACCCACAGTCACTTACCCTCTCCCCCTCACACACACACACCTACCAATATACCCACAGTCACTTACCCTCTCCCCCTCACACACACACACCTACCAATATACCCACAGTCACTTACCCTCTCCCTCTCACACACACACACCTACCAATATACCCACAGTCACTTACCCTCTCCCCCTCACACACACACACCTACCAATATACCCACAGTCACTCACCCTCTCTCTCACACACACACACACACACACACACACACACACACACCTACCAATATACCCACAGTCACTCACCCTCTCCCTCTCTCACACACACACCTACCAATATACCCACAGTCACTCACCCTCTCTCACACACACAAACAGACACACCTACCAATATACCTAGTCACTCACCCTCTCCCTCTCACACACACACACCTACCAATATACCCACAGTCACTCACCCTCTCCCTCACACACACACACACACACGCAGTCACTCCCACACACACACACACACACACACACACACACACACACACACACACACACACACACACACACACACACACACACACACACACACACCTACCAATATACCCACAGTCACTCTCCCTCTCACTCATTATGAGTAAACATGAAAGTAATATGTTGCAGTGTGCAATATTAGCAATAGTCAGTTTAGGTTGCCAGATTAATATGTGCAGCTGCAAACCGATTGGGTTTTTTTATAGTTTTTCCTGGTAATCATGAAAAGTTTCATATTTTGTTACTGTATATGGACATGAGACATTAAGTTACCATGACAATTAGTCTTCCCCATCTGCTGACAGTTGACTTCATCAGTGTGCTCACGCCTACAGGTAGGAACCTACAATAGCACAAGTCTCTCTCTGGTAGATCTACTGAACCTTCAGACAAAGTTCCGCACAGTGAAGTCAGATTGTGACTCAGCTTGTCTGGCGTGCCAGAGGTCATCCAACAACTTTGATGCTTTCACATACAAGCCTGGTTCCTTCAACCTTGTTGGTGAGTTGTCTCCCTTTGTTGGGCTTCAGTCCCACTGAAGAGTCAAAATCAATGTGAGCTCAATTGGGGTCACATGGGGCTAGGTTAGTTGAGGTTACATCAGTTTAAGTGGGGTCAACAGGGGTCACATGGGGCTAGGTTAGTTGAGGTTACATCAGTTGAAGTGGGGTCGACAGGGGTCACATAGGGCTAGGTCAGTTGAGGTTACATCCGTTTAAGTGGGGTCAACAGGGGTCACATGGGGCTAGGTCAGTTGAGGTTACATCAGTTGAAGTGGGGTCAATGGGGGTCACATGGGGCTTGGGTAATCGGGATTACATCTGTTTAAGTGGGGTCAATGGGGGTCACATGGGGCTTGGGTAATCGGGATTACATCTGTTTAAGTGGGGTCAATGGGGGTCACATGGGGCTTGGGTAATCGGGATTACATCTGTTTAAGTGGGGTCAATGGGGGTCACATGGGGCTTGGGTAATCGGGATTACATCTGTTTAAGTGGGGTCACATTGGGGCTAGGTAGCACATTTTATGGGACATGTAAATGTAAAATAATTCCACATAATTTGTTTTGCAGGTTTAGTGCCTTTGTAAACATATTACAGAGGTAAACTGGAGGTGTAACAATATGGTTTGGGCGCAATTCATATCCTGATTCTGTGGATAGGATACGATTCATATCCCGATACAGTATACTTTTATTTGACAAGTTGATATTCTTTCTTTCTGCAGGTGAATCACAGCCCTGAATCATTTGTTTTTTAAATTCCAGAGATCAAAGACGGGATATTGTAGGGCAGAATCATATTGGTAGAGGGCACTGGGAATGTTATGCTATTTATAGCCAACTGGGTAATACTAGAGAATCTGCACAAGCTGGTAGTTGAACATTTCCTGGTATTATTCACATGTTTTTACACCAAAATAACTTGTAATGAAATGTATCGTATGTATCGCGATACAGGGGTCATAAATGGATGTCTTGCAATCTCATTAAAATCAGATCTTAGCTCTCACTATCACTAAACAAAGATCTGAGGACATCCCATTACAGGTCAAGTTAGAACGACCTTTCAACCGACCAATCAAAGCCTCGCTTACCAGATCATTGAAGTGACAGTCGGAATGTGTTTTCTAAACATGCAACCTCGAAAACAGTACGTGGGAAGCACTGCAATATATGTAATCGTAACCACATATTAGACATTCCGGATTGTTCTTTTGTTCAGTTTTTAAAAATTTTAATTGAGAACTGTGTCAACATATTTTTCAAGCGTAGTCTGAAATGGAAGTCGCCAGGTTGAAATGAGTGCCGTAAAGCTCGAGAAAGCTGCTTTCTAATTGGCTGATGTCAACTTCTTGTTCTTCGTTTCAGAGGTTGGTCAAAGCTGACGTGACCCATAATGGGATGTCCTCAGATCTTTGTTTAGCTGCAGCGAGAACTTAGATATGATTTTAGTGAGATTGGATGTCTTGTATCATGGGCCTCGTATCATGATACAATACTGTATTGCTGTATCGTTACACCACTATAGTAAATTAAAAAACTATCAAAGAAAGATGATTCTGTTTGAAAAGAACATGATATTGGTTGAACTGCAGGACATTTATTCCTACCATTTTCTTCCTAGGTTTATTTGATGTCCACCGAAAAGGCGCCACACCCTTCACATGTGGAGACATAAACCAGAAACATGGCTTTGAGCTCCTGGAAGCATTTAACTATGCTGTCGATTATGTCAACCAAAAGCAAGGAATCTTTGAAGGCAAACTCAATGGGATTGATCTTGGCGCCATTGGTCTGGACGTCTGCCAGAGCCCAACGCGTGCCGCCAACCTTGTTGCCAACATCCACAGTGGCAACATCAACTTGAGGAAGCAGGGTGTAACTGTCAACCCTAAAAACTTTGATGTCTATATAGGGACATTTGAAACGAAGGCATCCATCCGAGTTGCTGATGTTCTCGACGCTCTGTCTATCCCGCAGATAAGCTATGGTGCTACCAGCTTGGAGCTCCGAGATTCGCGGACACATCGGTACTTCCTGCGTACTGTTCCAGCGGATGATAAACAAGCACGAGCCATCATCTCATACCTGAAGAGGTTTAAGATTGACAATGTTCAGGTGATCAGCACATTCGACAGTGTAGGTGAACAGGGAAAAGATGAGTTCCTGCGTCTCGCATACTTGAATCGTATCTGTGTCTCACAGAACATCACCATAGGTAAAAATGGTCCTGTGCTCCGGTCTGAGGCATCCTTGACCCTTCAGGCAATCGCTAATAACACTTACGCTAAGGTGGTCGTCCTGTTTGTAGATGATCCGCGTGCTATCCTCCTGGCTGCTGAAGATGACGACAACATCCGAGGACAGTACTTCTTTATCGGGACCGACAAGTGGGGCATGGATGTCGACCTCCTGAATGGGCTTGACAGACTCATTCGGAACCGAAAAGCCGTGACATTTGACGTGGAAACAGCTGATTTACCTGGGTTTGATCAGTACCTGGAATCAAAGATCCCCTCCAATTACAAGGACAATCCATGGTTTGATGAATTCTTCCAGGAGGTTCACAACTGCTACCTCACCAGCCCAACCTCAGAGTTTTCCAAGCCCTGTACTGCCAGTAATCGGGGTATCCCCCGATCTAATGGCTATATACAGGACCCATATGTTCTCTATGTGGTGAATGCAGTGTTCTCAGCAGCTCTCGGGATCCATCACGCTGTGGCGGAGGTGTGTGGCAACGACTACGCCTTCCCCTGCTCCCTCATCAGGAACAGTGGCGAGAGGAGACAGAGAATCTTCCGCAACATCAAGGAAAAGGCAAGATTCGAGGATGCCACGGGACAACCATTCTACTTTACAAATGGAGGGGAGAGTGACCGAGGCTACCACATCTATGAGCCGATCCCAAACCCTGTAGGACCAGGGTATATCTACAAGAACGTAAGTCGCGTAGATCATGCACAGTGGTTGTTGAGTGCTTAAAGTGGTTCCTCATCATGCCTAAGCCCATTCTTGCTGCTGTTCATGTATATGGCTTAAATTCATGTCAGTATCGGCATCAGCATGAGTGTTAATTATAGAAGTTGTCGATCATTCTTGTTACAAGTATTAACTTGCCGGATACTTACTATGCCAGTCATAGAGACACAGCCAAGGTTTTTTTGTGATTTGAATCATTTTGGAACATTTTTTATTGTCATAACAACAAAGACGTACGTTAGGGGACTCCTTATTTGCATCCTGATTTTAGTTGAGTGGGGTGTTTTGTAGGACTAGCTTTACAGATCCATCAGAACTCCAATCACAAACATGGACAAATGTAAAAATGCAGTTTAAAACCTTTTAAAAAGCACCCAACCTGAATCATTCACTTATTGTTACTTACGCTCAATGACCTGTGAATGTTCACTCAAAGCACAAAGAGCAGAAGGTTGGTGGTTTGACCCTTGGCCGCATCATACCAAAAGACATTAACATATGGTTCTTGTTGTTACCCTGGCTGCATGTTTTACTTCACCTCGCCCCATCCCACCTCACCTAACTCAAAGCATGAGTTTTACTTCACCTCGCCCCACCTTACCTCACCTAACTCAAAGCATGAGTTTTACTTCACCTCGCCCCACCTCCACCTAACCTAACTCAAAGCATGAGTTTTACTTCACCTCGCCCCAGCTTACCTCACCTAACTCAAAGCATGAGTTTTACTTCACCTCGCCCAACCTTACCTCACCTAACTCAAAGCATGAGTTTTACTTCAGCCTCCCCCACCTCACCTCACCTAACTCAAAGCATGAGTTTTACTTCACCTCGCCTCACCTCACCTCACCTAACTCAAAGCATGAGTTTTACTTGTCCTCGCCCCACCTCACCTCACCTAACTCAAAGCATGAGTTTTACTTCACCTCGCCCCACCTCACCTAACCTAACTCAAAGCATGAGTTTTACTTCACCTCGCCCCACCTCACCTCACCTAACTCAAAGCATGAGTTTTACTTCACCTCGCCCCACCTCACCTCACCTAACTCAAAGCATGAGTTTTACTTCACCTCGCCCCATCCCACCTCACCTAACTCCAAGCATGAGTTTTACTTCACCTCGCCCCAGTTTACCTCACCTAACTCAAAGCATGAGTTTTACTTCAGCCTCCCCCACCTCACCTCACCTAACTCAAAGCATGAGTTTTACTTCACCTCGCCCCACCTCACCTCACCTAACTCAAAGCATGAGTTTTACTTCACCTCGCCCCACCTCACCTCACCTAACTCAAAGCATGAGTTTTACTTCACCTTGCCCCACCTCACCTCACCTAACTCAAAGCATGAGTTTTACTTCACCTTGCCCCACCTCACCTAACCCAACTCAAAGCATGAGTTTTACTTCACCTCGCCCCACCTTACCTCACCTAACTCAAAGCATGAGTTTTACTTCACCTCGCCCCATCCCACCTCACCTAGCTCAAAGCATGAGTTTTACTTCACCTCGCCCCAGCTTACCTCACCTTACTCAAAGCATGAGTTTTACTTCACCTTGCCCCACCTCACCTCACCTAACTCAAAGCATGAGATAGGTGATATCCACGATATCTTTCCTAACTTCACCAAGCAGTATGTGGCTTTGTTTCCATGTAAATGTTATGACTTATTTAACTTTCATGTCACATTTTACAAAAATACCCATTGAAAAATAAAGAATTTAATATACTTTCTCATCAAACGAACCCAATTCTTTACAATTTACACACAAAAAAGATTTTAAAGGGTCTGGTTTGCTTTACTTGTTTCGTCATGACACCCAACAATGCCCAAGGTTTGAAACTATGTGTAAACCTGGGAGTACAAGCATGGCCGAGGTGTAAGTGAAGCAGTGGCTCTCTGAGTGTACCGCAATAAGTACTGGGTAATGTTATTGGAGAACATCTATTGCACATTAACCAATGCAATTTTATATTGTTACATCCCTAAAAGATTTGAAAATGACAAAATGTACATGATGCCAAAATAGTTTCTTGACCTACCGTATATGACCGTAGGTAAGCAGAATTTTGAGGACTAGATTCTGTAGAAAGCGGTCGTAAAAAACATTACATCGTATTGGTTCAGGTGATTGGACAACGCCATAACAAACTTTGTCAATGAAAATGTGATTTTTTTTATTCAACATCACTAGACATGGGGATTTACCATTTCAATTGTATTTCTCGTTATGCTAAACGAGGTGGAGATGACCAACACAACAGTACATGCTCTGCCCACCTAGCACGATCTACGATGCACGTTTCAGAGTTTGAAACAAGATTACAATTGTAGTTGTTTATGATTCATAGTGTTAAAAGAAATATTGAGTGTTTGAAAAAACATTGTAATCCTTCAGCGATTTCAGGTGAATAAGAGACCATATGATAGATTCATATATGGTCTGGGTGAACGAACGGGAATAACAAACTTGGTTGTCATAAAGATGAAATTTGACATTAATCTTCACTAGACATGATTTACCATTTAAGTTACATTTCCTGCTCTCCAAGGCATTGTTTTATGTGATTACCTTGTGTATTGTGTTTTTTATATTTTCTGACTGAGTTTTTTCTGTTTCCAGGTGGGCAGTTACAATGACACCAATTATCTGAAGTTGGACATCCGCTATGAAATCACTGAAAGGTCCGTCTGTCAGCCAGAGCAAGTGTGTTCATGTGTCTTCCCTGACTACCAGCCATCTCGATACATGTTGAAGGATAATCAGAACGATCTAAATCTCGTCTTCATCGCAGACATACACTCAAAAGACCCCAAAAACCTATTTGGCTGCGGTGCCATCAACACTGGCCCCCAGTTCCAGAACCTCATGGCATTCTTCTACGCTATCGAGTCAGTGAACAACAACACAAACCGGCGCTTCCCAACATCTCTGCAGTTTGGAGGCCTGGCTCTGGACACCTGCAACCAGCAGCATCGACTCGGGCAGGATCTCTACAGCTTAATGAGTGGGGAGGGGTTTTGTGGAACAGGTCAGCTGGGACAAGTTATCGCCCCTTCCACCATTGTGGCTGTTATAGCAGACGGCAGCTCCACAGCTCTCCCTGTCAGCAGTATGTTGTCCCCACTGAATGTTACAACCTTGAGTCAGAGTGCAACCACTGTCGAGCTGAGTAGCCAACAGTTCCATCCCTACTTTCTACGTACTGTGCCACCAGATAACATTCAAGCTATTGTCATGCTACAGATTATGAAGCAGTTTAACTGGGACTATGCCACTGTTGTTTATTCCACTATACCATATGGAATCGCAGCTAAAGATACTCTTCTCCTGCAAGCCAATGCTGCAGGATCATCTGCCTGTATCTCGGCCCTCGAAGGCATGAAACTGGGAGCAACCTTGTCAGATGCAGAACGAATCCTTGACAACCTCAGTCAACAGGTAGGATCAAGAGTAGTCATTCTGTTCACAACCCCTGAGCACTCACGTCTGCTTCTACAGGCCACAAGGTCTAAGGGCCTCGCAGGACGGTTCATCTGGCTCGCTAGTGACTATTGGGCCAGCAGTCAGTATATTGTAAACGGGTACGAAGCTGAGGCTAGTGGGGCTGTGACAATTCAAATCCGCTCAGAGGAAGTCCAAGCCTTTAAGACATACATGAAGTCCTTGACCTTAAATAATCGTCGTGGAATTCCCGACGACTGGTTTGAGGAGCTGTACCAGACTATCCACAAGTGTCGTCTGCTCAGTGCTGCTTTGAAGAAAGATTACTCCAGCATCTGTACCGGGCAGGAGATGATCACAGATGACATGATCCCCGAAGATCCCTTCATCCTTCATACCATCATCTCTGTGTACATCACTGCATATGGACTGAACAACCTGGAAGAGTGTCGCAATGTCCCCCAGCTCGACATCTCAGCCTGCTTGGCTCTCCAGGAAAATCGGAGACGGGAGTTGATCTACAACAGCATCCTGAACTCTCAGTTGACAGTGCCAGCTCAAGAACTAAGTGGGAGTTCCTTCAGCTTCAGGTTTACAGAAGGGAGGTATGGTGATGTTGGCTACGACATCCTCAACTACTACCGGGATGCTGGTGTTAAGAAGTACGACTACACCAAGGTGAGTTAGGTTGTTGTTTACAGCATTTATGTCTTGTCCTACAAGGTGACAGTTGATTGGTCAATTTGTTATATTTGTTGCAGCATAAAGCATCAAGCAATGCTATTCCTTCTACTTACTTTGGCTCAGTGGTAACATGTTTACAGGATGTTTCTAGACTTGATACAAAAACTTTACAGACATTAAGTACATGAACAGAAAGTATAACATTTACGGTAAATTTTTAACTTCTGCCATTCCAGATCGGCTCTTACCAAGGTGTGTTGACTCTTGATAAAAGCAAATACACTGGTTCCGGTATCCTGGATACCAGTGGAGTGGTGCCCATCTCCCAGTGCCCGGCAGGGAACCCCTGTACCTGCCTCAGACAGGATGGTGTTGGCACCCACACCTACACCCGCCAGTCGTCGACCAGTGCCACCTCCTACACCAGTGCCATCTACATCCTGAAGGAGGATGGCAACTACTACAACTCTCTCACTGACCAGCTCGTAGAGGTCAACAAAGTGCCCACTGTGGTCGGGCGCTTCACCGACATCTGGGCCATCATCGTGGCAACCATTGCAGCCATTGGATGCTTCATCACGGCCTGCATGTTCATATACCTCCTGGTCGTCTACCCAAACCGTGGTGGCACATCCATCCTCGGCTACACCCTCTGTTTTGGCATCATCCTTCTCTATGCTCTCGTCTTCGCCTTCATTGCTCACGCCAACACCGAGATCTGTGGGTTGAGGAGGTTTGGTCTTGGATTTGTGTATGCGTTATGCTATGGTTCCTTGTTTGTAAAGTTGCTGGACTGCTGGAGAACCCAGGACAAGGAGGAGATGGACAACGTGAAGTATAACAAACTGGGCCGTCCGTGTGGACTGTTCCTGGTGGTCCTACTTCTCATCCTAGTGCAGGTTATCATCAATGCAGAGTGGCTGATCTTGGTGCCTCCAGAAACCGTCCGTGTGCTCTACAACAACCAGCTGTGGCCCAGATGCACACCCGATGACTTTTACGATGAGAGTCTTGTCTTGTCCCTCGTTTACGTCATGCTTCTTATAGCTCTGTCTGTTATATTTGGCTTTGCAACATTCAGGAAGTCCAAGAATCATTACGAATCTCGCTGGATCCTGGGTATTGCAGTGCTCAGCATCCCGTGTTGGGTGATCTGGTGTCTGGTGGCCACCATTGGTGTGTACAAGGTGCGCGATGCTGCTGTGGCTGTGGGGCTCCTCATCAACGCGACGTTCATGCTGTTGCTAGGTCCCCTGAGGAAGCTGTACCTACTCAACAAATACCAGGCCTTGATTGAAGAGGAAGAAAAGGAATACATGGCCAGTCAGGGACCAGGTAGTTGATGATATTCATAAGGGGCTCACTATTCATACAATGTTATGGTGTGGCCAAACCATTGCTTGTGTCAGAATATTTCTTTAGTCAGCAAGACGTGCAATCCTTTTCTCTGCCAAACAAAATCATTTTTTCAACTACAACACATTTTTTCTCATTAACACACTCATTAGTAAAATTATGACATATTCATATATGAATAAACACTCAAGTTGTAGTTCTGGTTCTGTGGATTTCAAAATATGTGTTATGTCGTGTTTACAGTTTAAACATTTCACTGAAATTAAACAATCAGCAGCAGGGGCTTTTCTTAAATTATATTTATGTAATAGGAATGGTAATATTTATAGGGTAGAACTGCTGCCAGGGATAGTGAGCGTGATAAGACTCTTGAAAGTGAATTTATGTTTGTTTGTTTATTGTTCAACACCGCTCAAAGCAATATTCCAGCTATGTGATGGTGGTCTGTAAATAATCAAGTCTGGGCCGACAATCCAGTGATTGATATCATGAGCATCAACCCACACAATTGGGATTGATGACTTGCATCAACCAAATAAGCCCACTCAATCCCGATAATCGCCTCTATTACGACAAGCATAGTCGCCTCTTATGACAAGCATGGGTTGCTGAAGGCAAATTCTAACCCAGACATGTGAATTTATGTGAAATTGTGTGCATTTTAAGTCTTTGTGTATACACAACATGTTCTAACAGTAAGTTGCATCTGGTTACAGAGTATGCCTCATATGGCCGACAGTATGACAACGTTGGCAGGTTCCATGAGGGGTCGTTACACGGTAGCTCCCATGGCAGCACGTACCCCAGACAGAAATATGCTGCCAGCTTGAATGGAACACAGCGGTCAACAGGCTCCGCATATAACCCATACGCTGACCCCAACCACAGGGGTGAGTGTACAGAGTGTGCTAGTATATAACCCATACACTGACCCCAACCACAGGGGTGTGTGTACAGAGTGTGCTAGTATATGACCCATACGCTGACCCCAACCACAGGGGTGAGTGTACAGAGTGTGCTAGTATATAACCCATACGCTGACCCCAACCCTAGGGGCGCGTGTACAGAGTGTGCTAGTATATAACCCATACGCTGACCCCAACCACAGGGATGTGTGTACAGAGTGTGCTAGTATATAACCCATATGCTGACCCCAACCACAGGGGTATGTGTACAGAGTGTGCTAGTATATAACCCATACGCTGACCCCAACCACAGGGATGTGTGTACAGAGTGTGCTAGTATTTAACCCATACGCTGACCCCAACCCTAGGGGTGTGTGTACAGAGTGTGCTAGTATTGAACCCATACGCTGACCCCAACCCTAGGGGTGAGTGTACAGAGTGTGCTAGTATATAACCCATACGCTGACCCCAACCCTAGGGGCGCGTGTACAGAGTGTGATAGTATATAACCCATACGCTGACCCCAACCACAGGTACATGTGTACAGAGTGTGCTAGTATATAACCCATACGCTGACCCCATCCACAGGGGTGTGTGTACAGAGTGTGCTAGTATATGACCCATACGCTGACCCCAACCACAGGGGTGAGTGTACAGAGTGTGCTAGTATATGACCCATATGCTGACCCCAACCACAGGGGTGTGTGTACAGTGTGTGCTAGTATATAACCCATACGCTGATCCCATCCACAGGGGTGTGTGTACAGAGTGTGCTAGTATATGACCCATACGCTGACCCCAACCACAGGGGTGTGTGTACAGAGTGTGCTAGTATATAACCCATATGCTGACCCCAACCACAGGGGTGAGTGTACAGAGTGTGCTAGTATATAACCCATTCGCTGACCCCAACTACAGGGATGTGTGTACAGAGTGTGCTAGTATATAACCCATATGCTGACCCCAACCACAGGGGTATGTGTACAGAGTGTGCTAGTATATAACCCATACGCTGACCCCAACCACAGGGGTGTGTGTACAGTGTGTGCTAGTATATAACCCATACGCTGACCCCATCCACAGGGGTGTGTGTACAGAGTGTGCTAGTATATGACCCATATGTTGACCCCAACCACAGGGACATGTGTACAGAGTGTGCTAGTATATAACCCATACGCTTACCCCAACTACAGGGCTGAGTGTACAGAGTGTGCTAGTATATAACCCATACGCTGACCCCAACCACAGGGATGTGTGTACAGAGTGTGCTAGTATATAACCCATATGCTGACCCCAACCACAGGGGTATGTGTACAGAGTGTGCTAGTATATAACCCATACGCTGACCCCAACCACAGGGATGTGTGTACAGAGTGTGCTAGTATATAACCCATACGCTGACCCCAACCACAGGGGTGTGTGTACAGTGTGTGCTAGTATATAACCCATACGCTGACCCCACCCACAGGGGTGTGTGTACAGAGTGTGCTAGTATATGACCCATACGCTGATCCAATCCACAGGGGGGTGTGTACAGTGTGTGCTAGTATATGACCTATATGCTGACCCCAACCACAGGGGTGTGTGTACAGTGTGTGCTAGTATATAACCCATACGCTGATCCCATCCACAGGGGTGTGTGTACAGAGTGTGCTAGTATATGACCCATACGCTGACCCCAACCACAGAGGTGTGTGTACAGAGTGTGCTAGTATATGACCCATATGCTGACCCCAACCACAGGTGTGTGTGTACAGAGTGTGCTAGTATATGACCCATATGCTGATCCCATCCACAGGGGTGTGTGTACAGAGTGTGCTAGTATATGACCCATACGCTGACCCCAACCACAGGGGTGTGTGTACAGAGTGTGCTAGTATATGACCCATATGCTGACCCCATCCACAGTCGCTATTTAGAGAGGAGTCCATGAGTAGCACCAGAATGGGAGGATCATAGGTTTCAATACAATTATTAGGATGATTTGTGTTTTTACTTAGTCTGTCAGCACCATCAATATGATCAACCTGCATGTGGGTTTCACCAGAGCGTGTATCACCATAGGGGGAAACATTAATCTGCAGAACTTTAGGTTTTCCTGACATTCTGGAAATTCAGTATTGTTCAAGGCATTCCCTCACCAGTTTCAAATATTCACGCCATGTCTTCAGTTTAAAAAAGCTCGGAGTTATTTCTAACTTTTTATAGTTGAAGTATAGATAGTGCCTCAGTCGATATGCTGATAGTTCTGTATGTAGTTGTCTTTGCTTAAACATTGAAGTTTCTTTGTTTTCCAGAGGAGCGAGAGATCCAGCAGTAGGTCTACCGGTGCCCCAGAAATACTTCAACTGGGAGACTCCTGTAAGCAAGAAGATGTGAACAAATATATTGAAAAACTGTGATGGGGAGAATCATTGGAATATTTTGTTTATATACAAGTACAATGTATTGTATATCTAGACTTGACATGGTTGTCTCTGAATTGAAAGATTTGAATTCAAAGTGGTTATAACACTGAATATCACTACAACCGTCCTAATTGTCATTGAGGGCACAAGCAGTTACTAGAAACATGAACATTAGTTTCCTTAAGCCTTAAGTAAAGCATGAGCGTGACTAATTCATTTAAAAATCTTTAAACGGTATGACACTGTCTCAGTGGTCAGGGTCAAACGTGTCATGAGAAATTCCCACATGATGTGAAGAGCTGAATGAGTGCTGAAGTTCGTGAGGAACGTGTTATTTAGGCCAGACTGCTTTAATGCCTTGTTTCATAGGACTATGTCCCAAAGCAAAGACAAAATAAAAACATGAATAATTCCATTGAAAAAAACTTGGATGTTTAGATTTACAATTTCCACTATTTTGTACTTTTTGACTTAATAAAGTGTAGACTTGTTCTTTTAACAAGAACATAAATTGGTCTGGCCTTGCCAATAATATATATATATACATATTTGTACATTTGTATTTGTATCATTCACAAGGACTTTGTTTGTACAATCGCATATAAGTCATACAGCTCATACAGTCATCATCAGATGTTATGTTGTAGTTTGGGAACATATTTGCCAAATTATTTTAGCAGATGAGCGATTATTCAAATTTTGTATATACACCCCTTTTTAATAGAAATAAACATTTATATTTTGTATAAATAACCTGTCTTGACTTAGTATACATTCTGTCAATAAGGGTGGCCAGTGGTTCAAGTGGGCACTCACATATCAAAGCCCTGGGTTATAATTTTCACAACACATGCTTGTCTTAACAGGATGGGGTGGCCAGGTTAGCTGACTTGATTGTGCAGATAGATGCTCTGAGTCAATCACTGGATTGTCTGGTCCTGCCTCATCTACAGAGCGCTGTCACATAGCTGGAATTTGCTGAACAGCAAACAAACATCATATGCCTGAGGCCCGGGTTTGATTCCCATCATCATGTGTGAACCCATTTTGGTGCCCCAATTAGACATTAGTTCAACACTGCTAAAAGCAGTGGCAACCAGAACACTTGGTGCTAACAGAACCCATGACAAGAGCAGCTTCATACTGAGATCAGCTCAACATGCTGTGCTATATTCCAGCTGTATGACATTGTCCTGTAAATAATCAAGTGTGAACCAGTCAAACCAGTGATTTATATTGTCAGCAATGATCAACACTGTTGGGGTACGATGACAAACTTCCAACCAGGTCACTGTGCCTGACACCTCATTCTTTAAGTCATTATATGATGCTGGGGACATATACTCAACAACAAAAGTTCCTGTGACAGCAATATTTTAGTGTATTTTTCAAACAACTAAAGTTTCGTTTTCAATATTGTAGTACATGTATGAAATCAAGTCACAAAAACGCAACTGCCACGGAAAAGCATGCATTCCATGCAAAAGTTTACTTTTATGCAAGCCGCATGCATTTCACAACCCAAGAATGGGTATAAAAATATGTGCGTTAACGGGATTCCATATGCATTGTTTAGCATTGTGCTGACAACAACCACTCAGAAAAACAACAAAATTACGCAATAATTCAACATTACGAAATGCCAAGCCTGTCCAAAAATGAGCATCTGCGAGCCATTGGTATGCTTGAAGCAGGATCAAGTCAACGTGATGTTGCAAGACAATTTAACGTCCACAGAAACACCATTTGGTGTTTATGGCAACGTTGGCAACAGACGAATGCAGTCAGACCGGCTCGCTCCCCTGATCTCTCACCAATCGAGCACATGTGGGATGAGATAGATCAGCGCCTTCGACGTCAACTAAGTGTTCCACAGACACTCCAGGAACTTCGAAACATGCTCCAGCAGATATGGACAGATATCCCACAGGACTTTGTGCGACGCCTGGTCCATTCCATGAGACGAAGATGTGTTGCTTGCATCGCAACCATAGGTGGACACACGCTATTGATTTGTAAATTGACATTTTGGCATGTTCATGTTTTTTTATGAAATCATGCATTTTCTGAAGTCAGTATGGCAAATTAAACCATTTGAACACTTACAGGAGTCTTTTATCTGTTGCAAACCGAAATTGTTTCAGATTTGGTAAAAAACATAACTTTGCATTAAATCTTATTCAATGTCAAAGGAACTTTTGTTGTTCAGTATATTTAACCCGGCATCCCCATAGGGTTTATACAGAGACAGTTGAACTCCAATGCCTGCATTAGTTAATCTATAGGAAGCAGACACACCGGAGGTGATTCCTTACAATGACAGGGGGACCAATGTGACACAGAGACCTCCAGGGACACAAGATGGATGAGACTGGGATTTCCTGGGACCCAAGCTGGGTCAGACTGGGATCTCTTGGGACACAAGATGGATGAGACTGGGATCTCCAGGGACACAAGCTCGATCAGAATGGGACCTCCAGGGACACCAACTGGGTCAGACTGGGACCTCTTGGGACACCAACTGGGTCAGACTGGGACCTCTTGGGACACAAACTGGGTCAGACTGGGACCTCCAGGGACACAAGCTGGATCAGACTGGGATCTCCAGGGATAACAACTGGATCAGACTGGGACCTCCAGAGACACCAACTGGGTCAGACTGGGATCTCTTGGGACACAAGATGGATGAGACTGGGATCTCCAGGGACACAAGCTGGATCAGAATTGGACCTCCAGGGACACCAGCTGGGTCAGACTGGGACCTCCAGGGACACCAGCTGGGTCAGACTGGGACCTCCAGGGACACCAACTGGGTCAGACTGGGACCTCCAAGGACACCAACTGGGTCAAACTGGGATCTACTGGGACCCAAGCTGGATCAGACTGGGACCTCCAGGGACACCAGCTGGGTCAGACTGGGACCTCCAGGGACACAAGCTGGGTCAGACTGGGATCTACTGGGACCCAAGCTGGGTCAGACTGGGATCTCTTGGGACACAAGCTGGATCAGACTGGGACCTCCAGGGACACCAACTGGGTCAGACTGGGACCTCCAGGGACACAAGCTGGGTCAGACTGGGACCTCCAGGGACACCAACTGGGTCAGACTGGGATCTCCAGGGACACCAACTGGGTCAGACTGGGATCTCCAGGGACACCAACTGGGTCAGACTGGGACCTCCAGGGACACCAACTGGGTCAGACTGGGACCTCCAGGGACACCAACTGGGTCAGACTGGGATCTCCAGGGACACCAACTGGGTCAGACTGGGACCTCCAGGGACACCAACTGGGTCAGACTGGGACCTCCAGGGACACAAGCTGGGTCAGACTGGGACCTCCAGGGATAACAACTGGATCAGACTGGGACCTCCAGGGACACCAACTGGGTCAGACTGGGATCTCCAGGGACACCAACTGGGTCAGACTGGGATCTCCAGGGACACCAACTTAGTCAGACTGGGACCTCCAGGGACACCAACTGGGTCAGACTGGGATCTCCAGGGACACCAACTGGGTCAGACTGGGATCTCCAGGGACACCAACTTAGTCAGACTGGGATCTCCTGGGACACAAGCTGGGTCAGACTGGGATCTCCAGGGACACCAGCTGGGTCAGACTTGGACCTCCAAGGACACCAGATGGGTCAGACTGGGACCTCTTGGGACACAACCTCGGCCAGATTGTGACCTCCTAGTATTATAGGCATTCGATTGTATAATTAAGTACATGGTTATTGATTTTTATTGGTCACATGTGGGTGAGAGGTTAAGGTGTTTGCAGTTCATGAAAAAGGTTTCCTGACTTACTTGCTGACTTGCCGTACAGGTGGTCTCTTGCTCAAGCAACAGGGGTTGGTACATCTCCCCGAGGCAAGAGTGTACACTAGCATGTATCAAAGTCTAGTTTTCACCCTTACATCTTAAATCTACTTTTCCATGCTAACACAGACACGCTCGGGATTGGACTATTGCATATATGGATAGCCCAAACAGATAACATTATACAAAATCAGCATCCGGTTCCGTTGGTCGATATTTTGCTGAAATTATTCCTGCAAATAAGCGAATACAACTATTTTTGAAGTTTTTCAAAGTTTCCAAGTACAGTCCACTCGCCCAAGTACTTATATTGCCTTTTCATACATTTTATTGCGTTTTAAGCCTCTATTTTTGTAAGAGCGAAATGAGTATCAATAGCATGACTAAGTACATTTACTGTGGTAATCTGTCATTTTTTTGTCAGCGATGAAATCTGGAATCTGATCGACCAGTAACAGAGCTGTCAGGAAGCGAGACTAACGAATGAACAAGCAGGAAATATTCTTGCGACCTTTAGGACATACACTCTTCAAAAAAAGAAACGCAAAGGTAGTATGTAGTTCACTGAACCGGACTAAACAAATATATATATATATATATATATATATATATATATATATATATATATATATAATAAAATAATAAAGTCCACGTTAGTCCATCATCTTCTTTATATCAGTTTCAGACATAGTACTTTCGCTGTCTCATGACAGCTCTTCAGTGTAACTGACAATGACATATAATGACGTCATACTTATGATGACGTCATAAATTACAACTGTGACGTCATAATGTATTTACACACTCCAGCGACGACACCAAGTAATTTAACAATTGTAGGGAGACATTTGAATTAGAATATACAGTATTTGTAAAGTAACAGTGCAACATTTACGATTGAAATGACAAATCTATTAATACATTCTAGAGTTCAATTTTGGTTTCATCAATTGGATAAACATTTGTTCTTTTTCCAGTCTCAGCTGCTTGTTACTTGTATACAATTTATAAAACGGAAAAATAGTAAATTTCCCGTTTCCGCAATCATCAATGTGTTTGCTGACACCTAAGCAGCAAACATTAGGGTCTCTAATCTGCTGTTTGTGTACAGTGACTCTATCTTTTAATTCCATGCCGGTTTCACCGATGTAGTTTTCGCCGCATCCCGAACATCTCATAACATACACCACATCTTTGCTGCGGCAGTTCATGTCGGCTTTCACATTGAAACCCTTGCCATTTGCAAAAAGGAAAGTAGTACCTTCACTTATATAAAGAAGATGATGGACTAACGTGGACTTTATTATTATATATATATATATATATATATATATATATATATATATATATATATATATTGGATATATGTTATTGGAAAATGTTGGTGGCGTCAAAACGCCGCCATTGTCGATTTGCAATGTCTTGGAGAATTCGTACACTTATCCAGTCAGTGCCGAGGAGATGCAGAGCCGTGATTGCTGCCCGGGGCGGTCACACGAGATACTAAGTTCGTCGCAACCTTGTGGCCTTATGTGACATGACAATGAACAATGCCTTTGTACAACGACAGCATGTGACTATCGTGCTCCAAACGTTCATATTTGTATCTATGATATTAAATTAAATACATCGACTTTATTAGGGACAATCAATTTACTAAAAACTACCTGTGCGTTTCTGTTACATGTACATGTACAGAGTGCCTGGAACTGGGCTGCAACTCTCAGAAAGCACCAAGGAGGAGTGACAGATTACCACACCGAGTCCAAAAATACTTCAGAAAGAAAGTTTGTGATATTGGTATGCCCAACAGTAGGGATCGAAGTTGTGACCTCATGAAAATAGGCAGACTGGTGCTCTACCAATCTATCCGCCTCTACTTGTATCTGAATCTTGGTATCGAACCCATCCACTACCAGCGAAAGTGTCTGG